AATATTAGAAAGTTTTGAAGTAAAAAAGTTACAGTAAGCTAAGGTTAATTTATTATTGAAGAAAGAAAAGTATTTTTAAAAATAAATTTAGTGTAGACTAAGTGTAGAGTTTATAAAGTCTACAGTAGTGTACAGTAATGTCTTAGGTGTTTACATCCACCCATTAGTCACTCACTGACTCACCCACAGCAACCTCTAATCCTGCAAGCTCCATTCATGGTAAGTGTCCTATACAGGTGTACCAGTTTTTTATCTTTTATACCATATTTTTACTGTACCTTTTCTCTGTTTAGATATGTTTAGATATGCAAATACTTACCATTGTGTTACCATTGCCTACAGTATTTACTACAGTAACATGCTGCAGCTAAGTTTGTAGCCTAGGAGCAAAGGCTATACCAAATAGCCTAGGTGTGTAGTAGGCTATACCATCTGGGTTTGTGAACGTACACTCTGTGATGTTCACATAATGACAAAATCACCTTACAAAGCATTTTTCAGAAAGTATCCCCATAGTAAAGTGACACATGACTGTACAGTTAGAAAGAAAGGCATAGGAGTTGAGAGTGTATGCCAAAGGCTCTTCAGCCATACTGTATTTGTCTTTTTGTGACAAGCTTATTTCACTTAGCATGATATCCATGGCATTCCATGTTGTAGCAGGACATAACAGGATTTCCTTCCTTTTTAAGGCTAAATAATATTCCATGGTATCATATACCATATATTTTTTTAATCCATTCATCCATCAATAGGCAATATTGATGGATGTCATCAATATTAACATCAATACTTCCAACTCTTGGCTATTGTGAATACTATTGTAATGAACATGGATGTGCAAATATCTCTTTTAGACCTGGCTTGCAATTCTTTTGGGTATAATACCCAAAAGTGGGATTGCTGGATCATATGGTATTCTATTTTTAATTTTTTGAGGCACCTCTACACTGTTTCAACTTCAGTTGCATGATTTTGCAATCGCTCCAAAAGAGCACAAGGGTCCAATTTCTCTACATCTTCACCAATACTTGTTGTTTTCTAGTTTTTTTGATAGTAGTCGTCATAATACATGAGATGATATTTCATTGTGGTTTTGATTTACATTTCTCTGATGGTTAATGATGTTTAGCATCTTTTCATATGCTTATTGGCAATTTGTGTATCATTAGTTGGAGAAATGTCTATTCAATTTCTTTGCCCATTTTTGAATCAGGTTATTTGGTGTTTTGTGTTGAATTGTAGGAATTCTTTATATATTCTGTATATTAACTCCTTATAAGATATATAGCTTGCAAATATTTTCTGCCATTCCATAGAGTGACTTTTCACTCAACTGATTGTTTCCTTTGCTGTGCACAACCATTTTAGTTTGATGCAGTCCCATTTGTTTAATTCTTGCTTTCGTTTCCTGTGCTTTTGGTGTCATATCCATGGAGTCATTTCCATGTCCAATGTTATTAAGGTTTTCCTCTCTGTTTTCTTCTAGGGATTTTATAGTTTTGGGTCTTACATTTAGGTCTTAATCTATTTTGAGTTAGTTTTTGTATATGGTGTAAGATGAGGATCAAAATTCATTCTTGTACATGTGGATATCCAGTTTTCTCAACACCATTTGTTGAAGAAACTATCCTTTTTCTATTGAGTGGTCTTGGCATCCTTGTCTAAAGTTCTTTCATCACATATGTGAGGCTTTACTTTGGGGCTAACTACTCTATTCCATTGGCATATTTGTCTGTCTTTGTACCATTGCCACACTGTTTTGATTATTGGAGCCTTGTAATATGTTTTAAATCAAGAAGTGTTAGTCCTCCAACTTTGTTCTTTTTTTCTCTTTAATTGTTTTTTAAGTTTTGATTTCTTAGCACTAATTGCACTAATCAGCATTAATTGAACAACCTTAGCACTAATTGACCTCTTCAGACTTACATTTAGCACCTTCTACTTTTGCCTCTTCACTCCATATATGTGCATCTATTTTTCTTCCCAAATATGTCAGAATCTTCTCTACCTCGTGATCTTGCATGAGCTCAGAAAAATCTAAAACCTTACCTTTGAAGATAAAATGTACTTATTTGTCTTAATTTGTAAAACATTCCCTCATGAAAATTTTTGTATTCTCTAAACCTGGTAAAGATTTTTTCTTTCATGTAACAGCACAGTTGTGTCTTGAATTGTGTAAAGGATGGTAAATTTGTACATTGGAACACAACTCTGCCACTGCAAGAGTCAGATTGAGATAACACTCTCTGGCTGGGAAGGACGTGCACGATATATTTTTACATACAAAAGCATGTAGAGGACAATGAATATTATCCAATTTTTGTGAAAACAGAGGTGTATAGGATTGTAGAGATAGATTGTATATGCCTCAGAGAATATTAGCAAGGAATGTATTACTTAGATTTTGCCTTGGAAGTTGTGTATTTTAAAAAGTTTTGCAAAGATATAATGTAACAAAAATATTTCTTTAGTATTTGTTATAAAAATAACAATAAAAAAGGTGTGTAGGGGCCAGTCCTGTGGCATAGTGGTTAAGTTCAGCACATTCCACTTTGGCAGCCCGGGTTTGGTATGTGGGTGCAGACCTACACCACTTATTGGTGGCCATGCTGTGGCAGTGACTCACATACAAAATAGAGGAAGACTGGCACAGATGTTAGCTCAGGATGAATCTTCCTCAGTAGGGAAAAAGATGTCTGCAACCCAACGTTGTTTTCTGTTAAGGAGAGTTCAGTGCTTTTGCTCTAAGACAATTTTTTTAGTAGTACTTCTTTCTGGCATTATTCAGAAATATTTTATTTCTAACTGTGCCTTACAAAGCTCTGAGATTTTTCACCGAATGTGTTATGTGTGTTTTATCTTAGGGTGAAAAGTGGAAGTATATATTTTGTGGATATATGCATGAAATTCTCTAATGAACGATTTGGGTTCTCAGGCACTGTTTATGTATTGTGGATAAATATATGGTGTTGTATTTATATTTATGGTTTAAATTTTGCCTATGTATTAATTTTCTCTCTCTACAAATCAAATTCCATTTTTTAAGATTCTACAGAAAAGTGCGGACCTCCTCCACCTATTGACAATGGAGATATTACTTCTTTCCTATTAAAAGAATATCCTACAGGATCCAGAGTAGAATATCAATGCCAGTCCTTTTATGAACTCCAGGGATCCAAAGATATTACATGTAGAAATGGACAGTGGTCAGAACGACCAAGATGTTCAAGCAAGTTCTTAGCATACTCCTATAGTAAATTCAGCATAATAAACAGGGTGTTTTTTACATTTACAGTAGAATTTTTATGTAGTAATGATCTAGACTTGTTTTTAACAGCCAGTTGTACCAATTAAGACCAGAACAATTAATTAAAAATTTTTAATGGATGAGAGAATAAATTTGTAAAATTCTGATTTGAACAAAATAGTTGGCTTATTTAATACATCAAAATCAATAATACATGAATATTAAATATTAATATGTGAATATGCTGATGTGCATTATAACTCATCAAAATTTGCATTGAGATGATCTCAAACATATTATCCATGGAACTACATTTTCCTCCTACTAACCAATTTCTAATTATATGTGATCATCTCTTTAAGACTTTTCAAATAGATAGTTTGCAACAAGTTAGTCTAGGCAGAGTATTCTGAACCAGTATGAATGTTTCTACTTAAAAACTTGGAAAGTACTTCTGGTACAATGCTAAGCTAATTGCCACTAGCAAGTCATTTCTCTGATAATATCTCTTACCTGCATCTTACCACAAAAACTTACAGAGATGGGACACAAGATGAAAGCCAGCCATTTTTGATAGCATCTCCATCACTTCACTCCCTCACCCATATCCCAATAAGTATATTCAGGAACTTTCCTTTCAGGAATGTCCTTCCAAATTCCCCATCCCCACATTTTGGAAATATGTGGTATTTGAAGGCAATTTTTAAAAAGTTTTCCCCTTAGGAAACATCAGGGAGTAACAGGAATATTTTTTAATTGGAAGGATAAGTGTAATGGGATAAAAGTGAAGAAATAGGAGTCAAAATAAAAATAGCAAAATAACAAAATATTAACAATGTTTGATGTCAACACCTACTAACCTTTGTGATGGGAAATTAAGACTTCCATAAAGCCCTTCTGGTTCCAGTACAAACTTCTGTGAATGACCACCTATTCTGCTAGACTTCCCAGAATGTTCAATCCCTCTCTATACAGGATGGAGCCAGTATTTTCTCACAGCCATGTGAGCTCCTTTCCTCTCTGACTATATTGATTTTACTTAATGAATTAAACAATGTTGCTGATGGGAACTGCTGCCCTAAATTATCTGAAGTCTTAGTCACTGTCGCTCAAATCTGTCTCCACATTCTTAGCAGATCATAGCAATAGCAGTCTGAATATTGAATTCAGAGAGTGGCCATGCAGATAGAGACAAATTTGTATTTCAAAGTCTAAATAGGCCAGAAATATTATCTGAATAGATTTGCTCAGATAAAAGATAAGTTTCAGAGAAGAGTATTTTCTTGGCCAGAATAAGAAGCCATCAATTCCCTTTCACATTATACAAGTTGTTAATTCTTTGCATTTTATTAAAGGAGTTGGTTTCTTTTGTAATAAAAATGAAAATCAATAAAAAATCAATAGAGACCCAATAGACACTGTAGTATGTTGTGTAAAGAACAAGAAACATTCTTTTTTATCTTATCTATCCTTCTGTCTAGCATACATTCACTAAGGTAAAAATTTTTTAATACTAAAATACTGTAAAATGAACATATTTGTTAACACTTTATGTGTGCTTTCATGTAGGGTAAAGGAATGGCTTAAAAATGTAACTCACTTTAAGTGATTCAAATGTCTTCAATGAACGATTTCCTGTCATCAGATATCATAAATCTTGTTATTACATATTGTGCTATGTTTTTATTTGCTTTATTTTAACCTGTGTTTTTCTTTAGTCTTTCAATAAATCAAATCATATTCTTTTTAGTCTCTAAAGGAACATGTGGTCCCCCTCCACCGATCGACAATGGAGACATTACCACATTCCCATTACCAGCATATCCTCCAGGATCAACAGTTGAGTATCAATGCCAGTTCCTCCACCAACTTCAGGGAAACAGGATTATAACATGTAGGAATGGAGAGTGGTCAAAGCCACCAAAATGCTTAGGTAAATATTTTAATATTCTCATGGGTCCTGAGAAAACCCATGTAATAACTATGATGTTTTGCTGTTTATAACAGAATTCTCAGAGATTAACAACCAAGCATTCTGTTAAATGCTTGCTACCAAATATTAATGTGTGAGGAAATAAAGTTTGAAAAATTCTTGTTGAAGCAACAACAGCAACTAAACATTCTTTAATGAAAGCTCTTCATATATTGATATTACGATTCTTAGATTATAACCTTTAGTTTTCACACATTAAACATAGTACCTCATTTTTACATCATTAATTGTTTAAAATGGTTTAAATCTACATGCTGGATTTTCAATGAGTTGGTTTATAAAAGGTTTTAAGAATGAAGCCCTGGACTAGCTTGGAAAATTCTATTTGAGTTAGAATTTTTGTGTACAATATTTGTATATCTCTTAATGTGTTCATTTTTTTTTTTTGCCTTCAGATGCATGTGTAATATCAGAAGAAAAGATGGAAAAACATAACATAGAACTACGATGGAGGGATGAGAAAAAAGTTTATTCTAGAACAGGGGATGTTGTTGAATTTGTTTGTAAACCTGGATATCGTAGAAAGAGAGACTCCACAGAATTTCGAGCAACCTGTCAGGAAGGAAAACTGGAGTATCCCACCTGTGAAAGACAGAGATTTAACACGCATTCATAAAATCCTCATGTGTGCATTTATTCAGAATTTGTCATTATTAATCCAATTCTTCTCAAGTCATTCCTTCAAGTATTGTTTAACTCATTTTGACTCATACATCATAATTTGTGTTAAATATTACGTAGACAATGTTAGACACCAATGAATCACTTCTAAAAGGACCTCATTAAAACTTGGCTAACCAAAATGCTCTGTGTCCTGTTCATCAAATATCTATGGCCAGAAACTAGATGCAATCACTGCAGTGCCTGCTTCCATCCATCCTTCTCCCAACTTTCTCAAAGCCTCTCCATAACTTCTGAGGCTTTCTGAGACTCTCTATGTCAGAGGAAATGGAACAAAAAAGGCTAGTCACCATCTTCAAAATAAAATTACTTCACAAACATATAAAAACCAAACTGTCATACCTATGTTAGTAATAAGATGTAAGTAGTTATTACTCACATTGCTTACTTCTCAATAGATAAACATACCAAAAAATGGTGAAATGCATGATCTTCTACAAGACGTCTATGTAGCACACATCATAATTCAAACAAATTATAAAAGAGGAATTAGGATCTATTTGAGTGCACAGCTATTATACCATACATGCATATCATACATAGTGCATATCATACATGAAACATGATAAAGAATCCAATATCAGGTATAAACACACACACACAGACACACACACACACAGTAGGCTTTGAGCACTGAAAATGTTTATAGAACAAACATTCACAGGAAGTACAATAAAATATTTACCATAACTAGAGTTGAATTTAGAGATAATAGGAGTAAGAGTTGATGTTTAACTCTTTATACTTCGCTATATTCTCCAATTTTTCGATCTTTAACATATATCACCTTTGAACCACAAGAATATGTTGTTTAGAAATTAAAGATACAGAAAAAGTAAAACAATGCATGTTGAGAACTATAAAGATCTCTTTGGCGATGATCTTTAGATCTAATGACTTTTTCATGATTTTGCTGGGATAGAGAATTTTGGAAACATTTAACCACAAGAGTCTGAAATATGATTTTTATGTTTTGCATTACAAAGAGCTAATTATATTAAAATTGGTTGACTATAAACATTTTTCACTTCTACAAAAACATGAAAACTTGAAGATGTTAATAAAGATATAAATAATGAAGGCGAAAATATTTTATGGTGATACCTTGTTACTTTGTACTGCATCAAATCAAGTGGCATCCTTAGAATAGAGACCTGGCTGTCACCAAGGAAGCCAATTTATATAGATGTGAATCACTGGTGAGAGTCAATAATCTCACGTTTAAAGAAACATTGTCATAATTGGCAAGTTATCTTTGCTGTTAATGTTAACATTTGTTTATCTACTATTTCTCCAAAACCTTTCAGCTAATTGGTTGTGGAATCTATTTATGACACTTTCATTTAACAATTATTTCATTGTTGGCTGCAAAATGGTGATTTTTAAGATCAATTCTATCATTTTTCTGCATTTATTAATTGTCACTCTTACACAAAGAGGAGTGTTAACTTACCTACTCTGTTTAAATTAGAGTTTAACCTAAAGGATTTGGTAAATCTCTGTTTTGGCTCTTTAATTTCCAATTTTTGGAATGAGGATTTGATGTGTATGAGGATTTGATGATATGTTCTAATGACATGGATGAATCAGAAGTGATGGTTGGAGAATGGAAGTCTCTGGTTGAGACGTCAGTGATGGTGCACTTTGTGGTCACAAAGTCTATTATGTGATCATGTGAGAAGGGATTGGTTGTGGTGGAAAAGAAGGAAAGGGTGGCACAAACTGAGAGATGAGGATATCGGCTTTTTGGCCACATGGGTCTTGAAGTTCCTGAGAATGGTGACAGGAGTTGAGAAAAGATCAGGAACCAAGTTGAAAAAGAAGAAAACATTGGGAATTTAGTAGCTGACCAAAGGGCAATGGTGGATCTAAATAGCGTAAGCTTCAAAGGAACCAGAATCATCTTTCAGGAAAGATGGAGAGAAATACCCTGAAAGTAGTAAAAGCTGTAAAATGAAGCCCACCATCCTGTTTGAGAGGCTTGTGAGGGAAGTGATGTGTTCAGGAGTAGCCACATTTTAGTTAAGATCAAAAAGTAAAGGTAACTCTTTTAAGAGAAGAGCTTTATTAATGCAAGATTTTTGTTCTTTTCACAGACTTTAAAAGATTGGGTTTTGAGATGACATAACATGGAAGAAATCACAAATTTCTTGCAAGCTATTCAAATGGTGATGCATACACCTGGCCTTCCTTATAAGTCAATGTAAACATTCTATCAGTATGTACAGTAAAAAGAAATAGTAAAGCTAATCATGAATGTGTAAGGTGGTTTTGGCTTTCATTATATAACTTCAAGAATCTGACTCTGTATTAAATTTAATATATATATAAAATAAATTGATTTTATATTCATTGTTTCTTCTGTTAATAGTTTTATGCATGTAACAAACTGATATGTCATAAAGTAATTATAACACTGTTATTCATGTCTTATCTTAAAATCTTATATTAGTTTGAAAGTAATCATATTCCTAAAGAGAAAAGAATAGCCTATTACTCCAGTTTTATAGGTAAATTGAGGAATTTTTCTAAAGCAAATGTTGGAAGTCACCCACATGTCCACAAACAGTCAAATGAGGAGATGTTTTGTGGCACATTAGCAGAATGGAACACTATACAGAGAAGGAACTATTTCTACACCTCAAGTCATGGATGAATCTCACAAGCAAAATGTTAAACAAAAGAAGCCAGACATAAAAAGAAAATGCTATAAGATTCGTGATTTAGTGTGAAATCAAGCGGTTAGAAGTGAAGATGGTGTTTAATATTGGGGTTCGGCATAGGCAGTGACTTGGAAGGAAAGTCTGGGCTGCTGGTACATTCTGTTTGTTTGTCTGGGTGCTGCTTTCACGGATGTGCAGTTTGTGAGAATCCATTGACCTGTGCACTTGTGTTACATCTGCTTTTCTCTTAATACGCAGTATTTTAATAAAAAGTTTCCAAGTTAAAATAATAATAGCTCCCATCTCACAGTATTATTTTGTAGTTTAAATTAATACCCAATGGAATCTAAGCTATTAGAGGGCAGCAATTTTACTGTTTTTTCTCTGCTGTGTACCATTTAATCTGTTCTTTTCACTGCTATGTAACCAAGACCAGAACATGTCCAAATACGTAGTGAATACTCACAACATTTCTCATAAATGAATGATAACACAACACAGCGCCCATCTCATCACGTCACCGAATACAAAATCTGTAAACGTTAGATACGACTGTCAATAATATTATCCTCTCATTGTTGGAGACAGTTAAGGTCATTTTTCTCCTTATGCAGTGCAATCAAGAAAACACCCTATTTTAACATCAGGTATCCCTGACCTCATGTTCCTAAGTAAACTCTTCATTTGATCAATGATGGAAAGAAATCAATGGTCACAATGAACTTTACTCTATGGACTAACAATTGGGAATTGGTGATGAAAATTTCCCGTTTTTATGTATTCTGAGTTAATTATTTATGTTCCTACTATGGTGGCTCTTACTGGTTATCATGTCCTTATTGGACTCTGGCAAGAAAAGTATTGTAATGGACACAGTTGTGTTGTTTTAGTATTATTTAAAAATATTTTAAATGAAATGTAGGACTTACTCCAAAGGGACTTAGACAGATGTCGCAAATAATTAACTTTTTCTTCCAGAGTAGTATTGTGTACTTAAAGAGGACTCCCTACTGGTTTAGAATTGTTAACATCTTTACTGAGCGCACCACTGAGGATGAGGTCAAAAGACTTGGTGTTCATCATCTTATTAATCATCTCAGGAGAACTCTAGGCAGAACGTAAAATTAATTCTTGGTATTATTTATGCTCTAAAAAATGTAAGCAGAAATTCCAACACTCATTTAACTTGAGTTTTTAACATGCCCTTTCACTTGGGCATGTCAATTTTATATGAAACATGCTTCTTGTAAATAAAATTTGTTACAATATGTAGACAGACTTTTACCTTTGGGTGAAGCTAGTAAATTATCCTTATAGTTACATAACTTAGAAAAAGAAAGCAAGACAAAAAATCTTTTGTATAGATAGGTGTGGGGAGATAAGAACTGGGATCTAGGTACTTTAAAGGATTATCAGGTTAACAGTACTGCCATTTAGAAGTTGTGTGTTGACCTTAATTCTCGTTTCACACTGGAATGCACTCCTAACACTGACAAAGCTTGTACAATTTTAATTTCCTGTTCATAGAGTGAGAGCTTAATGTGGGAAATTTGAAAAAGAAAAAACCATAAATCATTGGCAAGATTTTTGACTCTCAGCACTATGGTTTTTATCCTCATGATTTATTCATTGGTTGAAGTCATTAATTAGTCATTAGTAGGAAGGCCAGTAATTGATTATGCAAACAGGACACTTTTGAGAGTGAAGGGACTCTATGAATAATTATGTGAGACAACAGGTGTAAATCACGACTGTCGAGAGGAACAATACCTGTGGACTCCCTGAGTATTAGAAATCTTAGCCAGAATGCCTAGGGCTGAGGTGAGTGTGAGAGTGACGGGGGCAGTGTATTCGTGTGGGTTACTTAGTGACAGTCATCAGTGTTTTTAGGGTGTAGGGATCAGAAACCAGGCATGTCATGAAGGGTCAGCAAGAGTGAATATACAAAGTAGGACATCACAGCAATAAGGCTTTTCTAGAATAAACACCTTAGGGGATTTGGGGAAATAAAGCATTCTATGGATTATCATTGTCTTTTAGCTGAATAGTTTACAAGAAAATTTCTACCAAAAAAGGCTCTGCAATTAAAATTATGAAACTGAAATAAATAGAATTCATCTTCCTTGACACACTTCATTCTACAATAAGATAATTTTTGTATGAATAGTTTCCTTTGGTTTTGCTTTTCTGTCTAAATAGGGGAAAACCATCGGCTATGATTATCTATTATTAATCCTATGAAGACATTGCAATCTTCTAGCTAATTTTGTAGTTATTTATGATTATAATCTTATTTCATATAAACAAAAAAATGTGCACTGCTTGAAGACAGGGCCCAGGATCTCCTATCCCCATGCTTTCTCCCACCCCAATCAGGAACCTGAGGGGCAAGGATTGGGATAAACACACTTCTCATTTCATGGCATGCAATCATCATTGACCTATGAAAGGTGTCATTTTTCCTTTATTTATGCATTTCCCCCTTTTATCTTTGACTCTGGATTCCATCTCCCCTACCACCAAACAGGGGCCCACTATAATGTGTTTATATATTCTTACATCTGTAAACGTCTTTGTAAACGGTCTTGTTTTGTGTGTTTTACATTCACATAAAGGAAAATTTAAAATAGTCTTTATCTCATTGTTTCGCTTAACTTGCTACGGTTCATTAAACCTATTTCCATGTTGCTGACTCTATTTTGTTGCATTCAACTGGGGCATAGGGCTTCATATATGTCAGTTATCCTCCCTCCTAAAGGTGGACACAGAGTTACCTCTAATTTCCTCTTAACCACAGGAAACTCTGAAATGAATCCTGTCCCATAATCACTTTATTTCTTTGAGAATTTCTTTGGCCTGTGTGTACTCACATGTGGGATTACTGGGTCAATATTTCTTCTCGATTTCATGATTTGTGTGTCATTAGGACTTTCCTTGGTTTTATGCCTTTTTATAGCTGATTTGTGGGAGCTCTTTGTAGAGTACGCATTTTAACTTCTTCTCGAATTTTGCCTTTGCAAATTTCTTCTTCCAAAATGTTCTGTGTTTTGTCAGCAATGCTTTTCACTGAAAGAAATCCTTCATTTTGATGTAATCAAATTCATCAACTTTTGCCTTGTAGTTTCTACTTCTCATCCCACAAGCCCCAGATCACACAATAGCAATGGTTCGTTTGTAACTGTAAAACATGGAGCCCCTAAGGTCATAAAGTTGCAATTTTTAAATGTTATACTCAAATGTACCAATTAGATTTCACTACAACTGTTCTGCTATTTTCCACATTTAATGGGTCGTTTATATGCAGTGGTACATTTCCCTACGCAGTATTTCTAATTGTTTCTTCTTTATAACCATTTATTCCTGCTCTATATTACCAGTATCTTCCTATATCTAAGAACACTAATTATGCAAATTTTCATTTCTCAGTTGATCTGTTCCATGAATTGTGCTCCATGTGGTATTGCCTTTCTTTCTTTGTGGTTGAAATTCATTGTGGTCCTTACATTTCCTATTCCTTTTTTCTCATGAATCATGGTTCCCAAGACATATCAGCTACCTTCACAGGTAATGTGCCTCTCCTGATGAAGGAGGGACATGGCCCAGGACAGGGAGTCTTAGAAGCAACAAGCTAGGATTGGCCACTCATTTGCTGCCCCTCCCTGAGCCAACATGTCTCTCATGGAGAGTCCTTGTGTATTCACCACCACACTGCTGTTTTTTTAGTCTTGTCCTTATATACCCCTGGTGGTATGGGTAAGGTAAATGGTGAGAAGGTTTTATGTCAGTTTTGGAGCCAGTCTACTACTGTTCTTAAAGGAAGTTGTACAAGTACATATCAGAGAATGTATTCCAGAAATTATTGTGAAACCACTTACAGGAATTGAGATTTCACAAAGCTCTTTGAACTTCATATTTACTAGGGGACCTCACTTAACTTCCTTCTTGGTAGTGCACTTAAATTACGTCACACTTGATAACTGCCAACGAAGCTGATATAAAACCCAAACAGCTCAAGTGGAATCTATGCATTAATATGCCCTTGGTAATATCTAACATGCTGTTCCTAATCAACGTCATCGTCACCTTCTGGGTTTCTGGTGTTCATGGACAAGGTAAGTTGGAAACAAGTCTGAACTCTCAGCTTCCCTCTTAAATTAACTTCATGTCGGACCTAGTTTCATGTGTCTTTTCTTTTTAATGAATCAAGTAGCAGGAATAGTCTGCATTGTGACATGATAATAGAGAATAGCTTTATAGGAAAATTAGCTTATATTTATCTATGGGAAAATTAAAATAAATTATATTTTCTCTGTTTCCTGATTTCCACTGAGAAAGAACTGAATATTTATGGAGATCTGTGACTACGCTCACACAGCTTTAGGAAATAGGTCACCAGAAAAGCTATAATCTGACTTCAGAATGTACGGAGGTTTATATTTTTAATTCAAGGAAACCTTTGGGAGTGACGGTTATTTTCATAATCTTGCTGGTGATCGTGTCATGGATTCATATTTGAAAACTCATTAAATCAGTCATTTCAAATTTATCCAGTTTACTATATTTCAATTATACTTTAGTAAAGCTGTCAAAAGTCTTTAACATAATCAGTTTAATATTTAAAAATTACCTGCAGATAAAAAGGAATATATATATTTCAAGAAAAAGTAGAATATATATTTTTGTGTTTATATTTAAATTTAAAAATTATTATGGTATAATTGGCTTATAACATTGCATAAAGTTCAGATGTACATTATTATATTTCAGTTTCTGTACAGACTGCGTTGTGTTCACCACCAATAGTCTAATTTTTATCTATCATTATATGTATGTGTCCCTTTATCCCTTTAGCTTCCCCCTCGTCCCCTCGGATAACCATTAGTCTGTTTTCCTTATCCATGTGTCATTTATCTTCCACATATGAGTGAAATCATACAGTGTTTGTCTTTCTCTGTCTGGCTTACTTCGATTAGCGTAATACCCTCAAGGTCCTTGCATGTTGTCACAAATGGCAGGATTTTGTCTTTTTTGTGGCTGAGTAGTATTCCATTGTGTGTGTATATGTGTGTGTGTATGTGTATGTGTGTGTGTATGGCATTTTCTCTATCCATTCATCCCTTGAGGGGCACTTGCACTGCTTCCACATCTTGGCTATTGTGAACAGTGCTGCAATGAACATAGAGGTGCATATATCTTTATACATTTATGTTTTCATGTTCTTTGGAAAAATACCCAGTAGTGGAACAGCTAGATGATATGGTATTTCCATTTTTAATTTTTTGAGAACTCTCCATACCTTTATCCATCGTGGCCTCACCAGTTTGCATTCCCACCAGCAGGGTATGAGTGTTCCCTTTCAACACATCCTCTCCAACATTTGTTATTGCTTATCTTGTGGATTATAGCCATTCTGATGGGTGTAAGGAGATATCTCTTTGCGGTTTTGATTTGCATTTCCCTAATAATTAGCAACATTGAACATCTTTTCATATGCCCGTTGGCCACGTGTATATCTTCTTTGGAAAAATGTCTGTTCATATCCTCTGTCCATTTTTCGATCAGCTTGGTTTTTTTTTTTTTGTTATTGAGTTGTATGAGTTCTTTATATATTTCGGAAATTAGTCCCTTGTTGGATATATAAATTGCAAATATTTTCTTCCAGTTGGTGGGTGTCTTTTAATTTTGTTCATGGTTTCCTTTGCATTGCAGAACCTATGTTGTCTGATGTTGTCCCATTTGTTTATTTTTTCCTTTATTTCCCTTGCTTGAGCAGACATTTACTAGAAAAAATGCTGGTAAGACCAATGTCAAAAAGTGTACTGTGTATATTTTCTTCTATGGAGAGAAGGATGATGATTTAGTTTGATGTATAAGAAGTTGAATATGCCTTTGAATTATATACATGGACCTGTCCAGTGTGAAGTTGCAGTTGGACAGACGGATTTGGATCGCACTGAAGAAGTGATTAGCCTAACAGTGGTAGCTTTTTATCATGGAAGTGTCTTGAATCACACAGAGAATGTGAAGAGGAAAACAACAGAACCAGGAAAATACCCTTGTAGAACCAACTGTGAAGCCTAGATATCCATTCACAAAATACTTGGAGGGTCTCCAGGGAAGATGTTTCTGAAATGGTGTTAAGAATCGGTATGAAGATCTAGAGGAGAATCATTCAGAAATAAAGAACAGGAAGTGCAGATGATAGGAATAAGCTTGATCTGTGTGAAGACAGGACAGAAGGCTATCGTGTTGGTAGGACAGAGAGTGAGCAGAAACGTGGTAGGAGATGAGACCTGGAAGCACGTAGGTCCTGCAAATTAAGAAGAGCAGAGGAAGAGGAGCCACCAGCAGTAAAATAAGTAAGATAAAATAGTGCTGTTCAGACAGAGAAGGAGAACATAAGGACGTGAGGCATTGGAGAACTTCAAGGAGTCAGTGATCAACGGTGTCAAATATCACAGGTTTATATCTATGCAGTTTAACAAGTAATTAAGGAGCCAGTAATACACAGCACTCACTGTGATATGTGGACTACAGAGAGTTTTGGATTTGGACATTGGAGGACACTGGTGACATTTGTCACGTGGCTTTTGGTAGAAGCCTCAGGTCCATATCACATGGGTGTCTCCATAGGTTGCTTGAATGGCAGTTAACTTTCTCCAGAGCCGGTGATTTGAGAGAGAGAGAGAAGGAAGCCTCTATCCCATTTATGACTTAGTCATATACTGTCACTTCAGCCATACCTGCTCCTCAGAAGTGAGTCACTGAGTCCAGCACACTCAAGGGGAGAGGAATTAGGCTTCCCTTTTTGGAGGGAGCTGTGTTGAAGACATTGTGGAATTTTCTAAAACCATCACGGAACAAAATGCCACTCAATTCAACAGACTGTTTTATTTCTGGGGATGTTTCCTCTGCCCTTTTCCAAGTGTTTTCTGTCTCTACAACTATAATCCTTTTCTTTATATATCACTGTTCATTGTAAAAGTGAACCCACTTAGACTGGATATTGCATGAATGAAAAATGCAATGGATACAAATAACAGGTCAGTGGCCTCGATGTTAATTCTAGGGGTAAGTCCAAAATGAATTTTCAAAACATGAGACCCTTGAAGAGACAGCTATTATCAGTAAGAAACAGCCATCAATATTTATCAGTTATAAGGAAAGTATTTATTTACTTAGTTATAACTGACACATAACATTATATTAGTTCCAGATTTAAAACATAATGATTTGATGTTTGTATATATTGCTAAATGATCACAATAGGAAGTCTAGTTAAAAATCCTACCACACGTTTACACATTTTTCCACTTATGACGACAACTTTTAAGATATACTCCCATAGCAACTTTCAAAAATACAATGCAGATACAACTATAGTCACCATGCTGTGCATTAGAGCTCCATGACTTAATTATTTTGTAACTTGAAGGTTTGTACCTCTTGACCACCTTGACCCATCTTGCCTACCTGCCCCCCAACTCCTGCCTCTAGCAACCACCAACTGGTTCTCTGTATCTATGAGTTCGCTTTTTTTGATTCCACATATAAGTGAGACCATCCAGTACCTATCTTTCTCTGCTGGCTTTATTTCACTTAGCATTATGCCCTCTGGTTCCATCCATGCTGTCACAAAAGGCAAGATTTCCTTGTTTTTTATGGCTGAATAATATTCCATTGTCTATATACAGCACATTTTCCTTATTAATTCATCCATCGATGGACACTTACGTTGCTTCCCTGTCTTGGCTACTGTAAATAATGCTGCAATGAACATGGCATTACAGACTCGGATATAGTGATTTCATTCCTTCAGATAAATACCCAGAAGTTAAACTGCTGATCATATGGTAGTTCTATTTTAATTCTTCGAGAAATCTCCATACCGTTTTCCATAGTGGCTACACCAGTTTACATTTCCACCAACAGTTCACAAGGGTTCCCTTTTCCCACATCCCCATCAACACTTGTTATCTCTTTTGTTTGATGATAGCTGTTCTCACAAGTGTGAGGTGATGTCTCATTGTGCTTTAGATTTTAATTTCCCTGATGATGATTGGTGTTGAGCATCTTTTCATGTATATGTTGGCCAGCGATATGGCTTCTTTAAGAAAATGTTCAGATCCTCTGGCCAAATTTTAATTAGATTTTTTTTTACTATTGAATTGTATGAATTCTTTATGTATTTTGGGTATTAATCCCTTATTAGATTTATAATTTGCAAATATTTTCTCCCATTTGGTAGGGAGAATCTCAGTTGTTGATGTTTTCCTTTGATGTACAGAAGATTTTTAGTCTAATATAGTCCCACTCATTTATTTTCAGTTTTTTCTGGCCTTTGCTTTGGATGTCAAATCAAAAAAATCATCTCCACGACTGATGTGAAGGACCTTACCCTCTCTGTTTTCTTCTTGGAGTTTTATGGTTTCAGGTCTTAGTTCAAATCTTTAATCCCCTTTGAGTTTGTTTTGTTTTGTTCAGATTCTTTCTTTTGCATATGGCTGTCCAGTTTTCCCAAAGTCACTTGTTGAAGAGAGTGTCTTTTCCCTACTACATATTCTTGGCTCCTTTGTCATTAGTTAATTGACCTTATATGCATGAGTTTATTTCTGGGCTGTCTATTCTTTTTCACTGATCTATGTGTCTGATTTTATGCCACTATTATACTGTTTTGAGGACTATAGCTTTGAAATATAATTTGAAATTAGGAAACAAGAATCCTCCAGCTTTGTTCTTCTTTCATAGGATTGCTTCAACTTTTTGGAGTCTTTTGTGGATCAGAATAAATTTTAGGATTGTTTGCTCTATTTCTGTGAAAAATGCCATTGTAATTTTGAAAGGGCTTGCTATGAATCTGTAGAGGGCTTTGGGTAATATGGAAATTTTACCATCATGAATTCTTCCAATCCATGAGCATGGACTATCTTTCTCTGTGTTTTCTTCAATTTCTTTTATCATTGTCTTATAGTTTTCAACATATAGGTCTTTCATCTCATTAGATAGAGTTATTCATAGGTATTTTAGTCTTTTGATGTAACTGGAATTGAGATTGCTTTCTTAATTTCTCTTTCTGATAATGCATTTTTAGTGTATAGAAATGCAACTGATTTCTGTATATTGATTTCTTATCCTATGAATCTACCAAATTCGTTTAATAGTTCAGACATATTTTTGATGGATTCTTTAGGGTTTTCTGCAGTGTAATACCACGTCATCTGCAAATAATGACAGTTTTGCTTCTTCCTCTCCAATCCGGATGCTTTTGTTGCTTTTTCTCACCTAATTGCTGTAGCTAGAACTTCCAATACCATGTTAAATAAAAATGTCAAGCGTGGCTATTCTTGTCTTCTTCTTGATCTTAGAGGAGGCAGCTTTTCACCTGTGTGATGTTGGCTCTGGGCTTAGCGTATATGGCCTTTATTATGTTGAGGTTAATTCCCTCTATACTCACTGTGTTGAGAGTAAAGTAAATGCTGAATTTTGTCAAATCCTTCTTTCTCTATCTATTGAGGTCATCCTATAATTTTTATCCTTAGTTTTGTTAACATGGTATATTGCAGTGATTAATTTGGGAATGTTGAACGATCCTTGCAACCCTGGAATAAATCCCACTTGATCATGGTTTATGATCCTTCTAATGTATTGTTGAATTTGGTTTGCTAACATTTTGTTGAGGACTTTCATGTCTATGTTCATCAAAATGTTGGCCAGTAATTTTCTTTTCTTGTGGTGTCCTTGTTTGGTTTTGGAATCAGTTTGAGACTATGAGTTTGGAAGTGTTCCCTCCTCTTCCACTTTTTTGAAGAGCTGGCATTAATTCTTCCTTAACGTTTGGTAGAATTCACCAGTGAAGTCATCTTGTCCTGGACTCTTTTTTAGGGGAAGTTTTTGATTCCTAATTCGATCTCCTTATTACTGATCAATCTGTTCAGATTTTTGTTTCTTCCTGATTCAGTCTTGGTTGGTTGTGTGTTTCTAGAAATTTATCTGTTTCTTTTATGTTGTCAAGTTTGGTGGTATAATTGTTCATTGTTGTCTCTTATGATCCTGTGTATTTCTGAGGTATTAGTGAGAAGATCTCCTCTTTCACTTCTGGTTTTATTTATTTGAGTCCTCTTTCTTTTTATCTAGTTATTTATTTTTTTGCAGGCAGTGATTTGTCCTGAGCTACCATCTGTTGACAATCTTTTTCCTTTTTTCTTCGCTTTTTACTCCCCCCAAATCCTAGTATATTTGTCTGTAGCTGAAGTTCCTTTGGTTCTTCTATGTGGGCTGTCACTACAGTGTGACTCCTGACACATGAGTGGTGGCATAGTTCCACACCTGGGAACTGAACCTGGGCTGCTGAAGCAGAGAGTGCTGAACTTTCATTGCTAGGCCATCAGGCCTGCTCGAGGCCTTTATCTTTTTATCTTGGTGAGTGCATTAATGGTTTGTCAATTTTGTTTATCTTTGCAAAATTCCAGCTCTTAGTTTTCTTGATCTCTTCTATTGCCTTTTTGTCTCTATTTCATTTATTTCCACTCCGATGTTTGTTATCCCCCTCCTTCTGCCAACTTTGGGCTTTGTTTGTTCTTCTCTATATAGTTCCTTGAGATATAAAGTTAGTTTATTTCCTATTTTTTGTTGTCAATGTAGGCATTTATGGCTTCGACTTCCCTCATAGAAGTGCTTATGCTGCATCCCATAACTTTGGTGTGTTGTGTTTCTATTTTCTTTTGTCTGAAGTTATTTCTTGATTTTGCTTTTGATTTTTATTTTGACCCATTGGTTATTTGGCAGCATGTTGTTTAATGTCCGTATTTATGGATTTTCCATTTTTCTTCTTGTCATTGATTTCTAGTTTCATACCATTGTGGTTGGAAAAGACACTTGATGATTTTAGTTTTCTTAACTATATTAAGACTTGTTTTGTACTTAAATTGTTTTGTGCTTTATCCTGAAGACTGTTCCATGTGCAGTTGAGAAGAATGTGTGTTCTGTGGCCTTTGGATGCAGTGTTCTCTGCATATCTGTTAAGACCATCTGGTCTAATCTGTCATTTAATGTTGATGTTTTCTTATTGATTTTCTGTCTGTAGCATCTATCCATTGATGAAAGTGGAGTATTAAAGTGCCTTACTATTATTGCATTGCTGTCTGTTTCTCCCTCTAGGTCTGTTAATATTTGCTTTATACATTTAAATGCTCCTATGTTGGATGCATAGATATTTTCAAATATTATATGTTTTTGTATATTGACCCTTTCATCGTTATGTAATGTCCTTTTTGTCTCTTATTACAGTCTTTGCTTTAAAGTCTACTTTGTCTGATAGAAGCATAGCTACCCAGTCTTTCTTTTGGTTTCCATTTGGAGGGAACATCTTTTTCTGTCCCTTCACTTTCAGTCCTTATGTCTAAATTGAGTCTCCTATAGGCTGAGTGTGGATGGATCTTGTTCTTTTAATCTATTTAGACACTCTGTGTCTTTTGATTGGAGAATTTAGTCCATTTATGTTTAAAGTAATTATTGATAAGTATGCACTTACTGCCATTTGACATGGTGTTAATTGTTTTCTTGCTGTTTTGTAATTCCTCGCTTGTTTGTATCTTCTCTTGTTCTCTTCCTTTGTGATTCGATGACTTTCTGTTGTAGTATGCTTAGATTCCTTTCTTTTTACTTTTATTTAGCTAACATAGGTTTTCCTTTGTGGTTACCATGTGTCTTATATAAAATATCTTACATTTATAACAGTGTATTTTAACTTGATAACAACTTAAATTTGATTTCCTTCTAAAGTCCTACATTTTTACCCATTTGTGATGTCACAATTTAAGTCTTATCTTGTATACCTCAACAAATGATTGCAGTTATACTTTTACTACTTTTGCCTCTTAATCTTTGTACTAACTTTTTAAGTGATCAACCCAACACCTTTAGAACATTATATTATTCTGAATTACCTTATATTTACCTTTACTAGTGAAATTTATTCTTTCGTATGTTTTCCTGTTACTGATTAGCACTGTTTCATGGCAGCTTAATGAAGTCCTTTTAACATTTCTTATAAATGACGGCTAGTAGTGATGAGCTCCTCTAGCTTTTGTTTGTCTGGACAATTCTTTAGCTGTCCTTCAATTCTGATGGACAACTTTTCTAAGTAGAGTATTATTGTTGGCAGCTTTTTTTCTTTCTGTGGTTTGAATATATTGTGCTATTCCTTTCTGGCATGCAAAGTCTGTGCTGAAAAGTCTGCTTATAGTCTAATGCAGGTTCACTTGTACAACAAGTTTTTTTCACTTGTGACTTTTACAGTTCTCTTCTTGTCTTTGACATTTGGGTTTTAAATATAAGTTGTGTTGGTTTGGTTCTCTTTGGGTTCAACTTATGTGGAGCTCTCTCTGCTTCCTGAAAGTGGATACTGTTTCCTTTTCCAGGGTAGGGAAGTCTTCCACCATTATTCCTGTGGAATTTTCTGCCCCTTTCTCCTTCTCTTTTCCTCCTGGGACTCTTATTATGTGAATGTTTGTCTGCTTTTTGTTTCCCATAAGTCCCATCAGCTATCTTCACTCTTTTTCATTCTTCTATTTTTTCTTTCCTTTTTTTTTTTTTTGCTGTTCTAAGTGGGTGAATTCCATTACCCTGTCTTTGACTTCACTGATCCTTTCTTCTGCTTTATCTACTCTGATATTGAATCCTTTTATTGTATTTTTCCATTTAGTTATTGTATTTCTCAGCTCTGTGACTTCTATTTGGTACTTTCTTATCTTTAGTACCTCTTTGAGGAAGACGTTAGTATATGCAAGGATCCAAACTTTATAGTCCACATAATGAGTGTGTTGAAACAATTTGAACAATTTCTCCAATAAAACAAAAAAGGAAATTGATCACTACATGAACAACATGTGCTTAAACATAAATGTTAAAAGTATTTAATAGATTAAATCAACAAATTGTAATTATAGTATATCTCATTTAAAAGTATTTATAAGACATCTTAACAAGCATCTCATTCTCCAATAAAATTAGAAATAAGCAATCAAATGTTTACTATAATCTTAACTAATTGGAACTTAAGAAATATTCCTACTTCGTTTCTCTAGTTAAAGACAGAAAGGGAAACTTGCCTCAATGACTGATTGGAGGCATGAATAAGAATGTTATTTTTCTGTCTGAAGTGATCAATGGAAAATTTTTGTTCTTCTCTCTGCCTCTCACGTTGTTTCCAATAAGTAGAAAACAAACTAATGAATGTTAATCCAAAAAAACCCCACCACACCAAAAATCCTCACTCTCATCCTACATTGAGTTGGTCTGAGAAGAAAAGACAGGGCTCTGATTTCTGATGAGAATGGGAAAAATAGGAAAAGAAGACAGATGAGCTGAGTGATAAAACCAGTACTTCCATCTCTCAACCAAGATGCTCATTGAATCAACCAGGGCTAGGATGCATGTACTCAAGGAAAAGTCATTAAATGAGTCTGTACAGTTTTCTTCCTGGAGAGTCTTAATATAAGTTTATATATCGTATGACACACAAGCCATAATTTTATCTTCTTTACCGAAGAATTCCCTATATACCTCAGTCATCTGAATTTTATAACTTTTCTTGTCCTAGAAACTCTAGTGCAATGAGTGTAAATATACTAGTAAGAGAATATAATTCATCGAATAAATAATTCATCTCTAGTTTGATTTTTTTACTAAGATAAAACATTATTTATACTAATTTTGTTATGTTTTTATATTGCAAGTGAAGCCTTGTGATTTTCCAGAAATAAAACATGGATATCTATATGCTGAAGATTATTATAAACCATACTTTCCAGTGCCTATAGGAAAATATTATTACTATTACTGTAATCAAAATTTTTTGACTCCTTCAAAATATCGCGGGGGTTATATTTATTGCAGAGCAGAAGGATGGTCACCAGCAGTACCATGCCTCAGTAAGTAAACCTCTTTATAATTGTATGTGTAGAGATATTTCAAAGAGTGGAGAGAGAAAAACACATAGGGGAATAGAACTAAGTTTTACATGAAAAAAATAAGGCCAAAGATGAATTCTATGGCCAAAATGACCAGTATAGATCTTTCCTTTCAGAAGGAGATTTTCATGAAAATCACATGAGAGATAAAGATAGAGACTTCACAGGAATATCTATATCTTTTATACATATTTTAGTCATAAAACTGAAAGTAAATAATGTTGACTATTAATTTTTCTTTTTAAAAAAATGGTAATAACGTTAGTTTTTCTTAAGTTCTATATTACTTTTGGATGCTTATTCATTTCAATTTAAATATTGCAAACAAAGTTGGTAATTTGGTATTTTTGCCAAATGTATGGGTTCTTAAAATTTTTATTTATGATCCTTAGGACAATGTACTTCCACTAACTTGGAAAATGGAAAGTTTCCACATTGGGGAAGAACATATTTACAGGGTGAATCTGTAAAAGTGGAATGCTATTCTGGCTACAGTCTTCCAGATCAGCAGAGCTTAATGACATGTACAGAGAATGGCTGGTCCCCTCCTCCCAGATGCATCCGTGTTGGTAAGTAAACTGATCTGAGATCCCAATACGTTTATGATTTGCAAAGACACATCTACATTAATTGTGACAAAATGTTTATCTCGACTTCTTCTTTTGCCAATGGGCCTATTTGATTTTATTGTTTCCAAGTGTGTACGAATGGATATAAAAGATTCTTGATACATATGTAGCAAAATAAATGAGCCTACTGATAGACATTAGTCAAGAAAACAGTCAAAGAATCAGGAAACCAATGAGGCACAAACCATGAAAAGAAACCAACAGAAATTCTGGAACTGAAAAATACAATGAATGTAATGAAAAATACAATCAGAGCATCAACAACAGATTTTACCAAACAGGAGAAAGCATATGTCAAGTAGAAGACAGCTTATTTGAAAGGTTCCAGTCAGAGGAGAACAAAAGAAAAAGAACCACGTTCAAGAGTGACGAGAGCTTACATGAATTATGGGAGTTTCTGAAGGGAAACGTTTTAGGCCTTGAGAAGGTCCCAGACTGAGAAGACTTGGAGAAAGGGGCAGTAAGTTTATATAAAGAAATAATTGCTGAGGCCTTACCAAATCTGAGAGAAGATATGGACTATCAAAATCAAGAAGCTCACAAATCCCTAAACAGATTTAGCAAAAGCATCATTTACAAAACTTACTAATAAAAATGGCACAACCAAAGACAGAATTTTGAAATCAGCAAGAGAAAAAAGAAAAACCCACATACAAGGGAACCCACATAATGATATCAGGAGATTCATCAACAGAAACCCTGACACCAGAAGAGAGTAGGATGATACATTGAAAGCGATGAAATTAAAAACCAAATTAAAAAAAACCCTGCCAACCAAGAGTACTTTACCCAGAAAAGCTGTCTTACAGAAAGGAAGGAGACATAAAGATGTCACCAGACAATTCAAGGCTGAGGAAATTCCTCAACACTAGACCTGCCTCGCAAGAAATGCTAAAAGGAGTTCTTCAAGTTGAAATGAAAGGACATTATTTACTAACATAAAAACGTTTAAAGATAAATCAGATACTGGTAAAGGTAAACAGATAGTCACACTTAGAATACTTAAATACTCTAGTATGGTGGTGTAAAAGACACTTATTTCCAATAGAATGATCAAAGTACAGAAGTTTTAAAAATAATTATAGCTACAATAATTTGCTAATGGATACTCCATATAAAAATATGTAAATTGTGACAAAATATGTGGAGAGGAGTAAGAGGTTAGAGTTCGTGCGTGCAAACAAGGTGACTTTGCCATCAGCTTAAACTTATCTATGATATGTATGTTAGTTTCATGTAAACCACAAAGCAAATCCCATTGTAGATTCAGAAAAGATAACGAGGAAGAAATCAAGGTGTAGCACTATGGAAAGTCATTAATTCACAAAGGAAGGCAGCAAGAGAAAGGGAAAGGAGCATTGGAACTACAAAGAAGCTAGAAAACAATTAATTGGATGGCATTAGTAAGTCCTTACCTATCAATGATTATTCTGAATGTAAGTGAATTAAATTATCCACCCAAAAGATATAGAGGGATGAATGGATAAAAAATAAAAGACACAACTATGCCCCACCTACAAGCCTCACTTCAGCTCTGAGGACACAGATGTGCTGAAAGTAAAGGGACGGGATAAGACACTCCGTGCAAACGGAAACCAGAAGAGCCCGGGGGGAGGTAAACTTATATCAGAGAAATAGACTTTAAGTCAAATAGTAACAAGACACAGAGAAGCCATTATACAATGATGGAGGGGCCAAATCCTCAAAAGAATTGTAAACGTGTATGCATCCAACTTTGGAGCACATAAAAATATTAAGCAAATACTGACATATCTGAGGGCAGAAATAGACAGCTATACAATAATAGTAGGAGAATTCAATACCTCACTTTCAACAATGAATAGCTCATCCACAGAGAAATTCAATAGGAAAATGTCGAACTTGAAATGTACTTTTGACCAAATGGACCTAAAAGACACATACAGAACTTTCCATGCAACAGCAGATGAGTATATGTTTTCTGAAGCTCACACAGTACATTCTCCAGGATAGATAAAACATTAGATCACAAAACAAGTCGTAAAACTTTTAAGAAGCTTAAACTAATACTAAATATCTTTTCTGCCTATGGTTTTATGAAATTAAATATCAACAACAGAAGGAAAACGAAAATTCACAAATATGTGGAAATGAAACTACTCACTCCTGATAAAAGAATGGGCCAAAGAAGACATCAAAAAGGGACATCAGAATACATCTTAAATGAAACAAGAAACCACAACATACTAGAGAGCTGCAAAAGTAGTTCTATGAGAGGTGTTTTTAGTGATAGATGCCAGAAAGAGAAGAGAATGGCCTCCAATAAATAATCTAACTTTAAGCCTCAAAAACTAGAAAATGAACAGTTAAGCCTAAAGTTAGGAAAATAAAAGAATAACCAAAATTAGAGCAGAAATATATGGAATAGAGACCAGAAAAAATATTAAAAAGCAACAAAACTAAGACTTAGGTTTTTTTTGAAAAAGATAAGGTAAATTGATGAATCTAAGACTGATTAAGAAAAAAGAGAGGCAATCAAATAAATAAAATAACAAATGAAAGAAAAGACATTACAACAGATGCCACAGAATTAGAAACGATCCTAAGAGACAATTCTAAATAATTATACACCAGCAAATTGGATAACCTAGAAGAAATGGATAAGTTCATAAAAACATACAACTTATCAAGACTGGGTCATAAAGAAATAGAAAATCTGAACAGACCAATGACAAGGAAGGTAAAATTAGAACAGTAATCAAAAACATTCCTACAAAGAAAAGCCCAGGACTAGTAGTTTTCACTGAATTCCACCAAACATTTAAAGGAGAATTAATGCCAATCCTTCTCAAACCATTCTAAGTAATTGAAGAGCTGGGAGCACTTCCAAAGTCATTTTACAAGATCAGCCTTACCTTGATAGCAGAGCCAAACAAGAATACTACTAAAAAGAAAATTTTATGCCAATATCACTGATAAAGATACATGCAAAAATGATCAACAAAATATAAAAAATTCAACAGCACATTAAGAGAATCATATACCGTGATGAAGTTGGATTTATCCATGGGATTCAAGGATGGTTCAACAAATGCAAAAACTTGGCACACCACTTTAACAATATGAAGGGTAAAATACATATTATAGTCTCAATAGATGCAGAAAAGGCATTTGAGAAAATTAAACACCCTTTATGATTAAAAAAAAAAAATCCCTACTCTCAAGAAATTACGTATTGAAAGAACGTAACTCAACATAATATATATCATGTATGAGAAGGCCACAACTAACATCTTACTCAATGGTGAAAAGCTGAAAGCTTTTTCTCAAGGATAAAGGAAAAGAGAAGGATGTCCACTCTCATCATTTTCCTTCGGCATAGTACTGGAGGTCGCAACCAAATGAATTAGGCAACAAAAGGAAATAAAAGTCACTCCAAATAGGAAAGAAAGAAGTAAAATGGTGTCTGTTTGCAGCTGACATGATCTTATGCTTACACAACCCTAAAGACTGCACAAAAAACTGTTAGAATTAATAAAAGAATTCATTAAAGCTGCAGGAGACAAAAATCAACATATGAACATAACTCGCATGTAACACTAAACTATCAAAAAGAGAAATTAAGAAAACAATCATTTACAATCTCATCAAAAATAAGAAAATATCTAGGAATAAACGTAATCAAGGAGGTGAATGACTTGTAACCTGAAATCTATAAGACATAGATGAAATAAATTGAAGAAGACACAAATAAAAGGAATGATATCCCATGTTCATGAACTGAAAGAATTAATATTGTTAAAATGTCCATACTACCCAAAGTCGCCTACAGAGATAACGCAAACTTTATCAAAATCCCACTGGCATTTTCACAGAAAGATAAAACATAGTCCTAAAATTCTTGTGGAACCGCAAATGACCAAAGCAATCTTCAGAGAGAAGAACAAAGCGTCCTGAAGAACACCACACGTCCTGATTTCATACTACATTACAAAGCAATAATAGTGAAAACTATAGGGTCCTGGCATTAAAATAGACACAGAGATCAAGAGTAGAATCAGGAGGTGAGAAATAAGCCCATGCAGATATACACAACCCATATTCAAGAAGGGTGCAAAGAATACGCAATGGGAACACAGTGTCTTCAGTAAAAGGTGTTGGAAAACCTGGATATCCACAAGCAAAGGAATGAAATGAGACCGCTATATTAAATCACTGACAGAAATTAACTCTAAATCTATTAAAGAGTTAAATATAAGATATGAAACTATAAAATTCCTAGAAAAAAACATAGACAAGTATCTTCGTGACATTGATCTGTCAATGATTCTTTTCATATGACACCAAAAGCACAGGAAACAAAAGTTGAAACAAATAAATAGGACTACATCAAACTAAAATGCTTCTGTTCAGCAAATCAGAATGAAAAGGCAACCTACGGAATGGGAGAAAATATTTGCAAACCATATATCTAATAGGGGGTTAATAAAAAATATGATAATGAACTTAGAGAACTCAATGCCTAAATAAAGAATCCAATTAAAAAATGGGCAAAGGATCTGAATAGACATTTTCTGAAAAAGACATGCAAATAGCAAACCAGTACATGAAAAGGTACCCCAAATCACTAATCCTAAGGTACGTGCAAATCAAAACTACAAGGAGATATCACCTCATATCCGATAGAATGGCTTTTATCAAAAAGACCAAGGATTACAAGTGTTGGCGAAGATGTGGAGAAAAGAGAATACTCGTACATTTCTGGTGGGAAGGTAACTTGTTACAACCATATGGAAAACAGTGTGGAAGTTCCTCAGAAATTTAATAGAACTATCATATAATCCATTTTTGGGGTGTGTATCTAAAGGAAATGAAATCAGCATCTGGAAAAGCTATCTTCACTCTCGTTTTCACTACAGCAATATTCACAATAGCCAGGCCATGGAAACAACCTAAGTGTCTGTGGATGGATGAATGGATGAGGAAGATGTGGTGTATATATATATATATATACACACACACCAGTGCATATATATATACCAGTGTATAACATTCCATCATGTATATATGTATATATGTCTATATATATATGATGGAAAATATTTATATATTTTCTCCAAACAGGAGAAAGAAGGAAATCTTGCTATTTATAACAACAGGGATGAACCTAGGGTACATTGTGTCTAGCCAGAGAGAGACAAATACTTCCTGATAAAACTTATATGTGGAATCAGAAAAGAAAAAAGAACGAAAAGTCAAATTCATAGAAACAGAGAGTAGACTGGGGGTTTACCAGAGGCTAGGGAGTGGGGGAAATTGGGAGATGCTGATCCAAGGGTGTTAGCCTTCAGTTATAAGATGGCTAATTCTGGAGATCTAACGCACAGAATGGTGACCATAGTGTGTAGTAACGTATTGTATACTTGAAATTCGATGAGTGTAGATCTTAAGCATTTCAACTACAAAAAAAAAAAAAGATTACTATATGAGGTGATAGATGTGTTAATTAACCTGACTTACAGAATCATTTCACAGTGTATATGTGTACCAAATTCTCTCATTGTACACAATATATATATATGATTTTGTTAATTATACTTCCATAAACCTAGTGGGGAAAACTGTAATAGACATGCAAAAGAAAAGGAGAAAAGAATTAAAGCAAATAACTACAAAACATAATCAAATAACAAAGGAAGACATCAAGAGGAGAAGGGACTGAAAAAACTATTGCAAAGCAGAAAACAATTAGCAAAGTGTCAAGTCAGTCCTCATCTATCAACAGTTACTTAATGTAAATGAATTAAGCCCAACTATTAAGAGAATAGAGTACCCGAATGAGTAAAAAACAAGAGCAAATGGTACGCTATCTATAAAAGACTCACTTTAGACTTAAAGACACAGAATTAACATGAGGGGATGGGAGAAAATATGTCTTGAAAAATGGCAGCCAAAAGAAAGCAGGAGTGGCTATCATTATATGAAAAAAATTGATTTTATGTCCAAAACCATCTGTAGAGACAAAGAAGGTCATTGTATAATAATAAAAAAGTCAATTCAACAGGAAATAGAACGATTTTAAACATATATGCACCCCACATCAGAACTCCTAAAGATAGAAAGCAAATATTGACATGTTTGAAGAGGAGAAATTAACAGCAATACAATAATTTCGAGCTGATTTTTGTATATGCTGTAAGATAAGGGCCCAGTTTCATTTTTCTCTATGTGGATATCAGTTTTCATAGCACTATTTGCTGAAGAAACCATCCTTTCCCCATCGGGTTTTCTTGGCATCCTTGATAAAGATCAGTTGATCACAAGTGTGTGGATTTATTTCTGGGCTCTCTATCCTTTTACATTGATCTATTTGTCTGTTTTTATGCCACAACCATGCTGTTTTGATTAATGTAGGTTTATAATATATTTTGAAGTCAGGAAGTGTGATATCCTCAGCTTTGTTTTGGCTCAAGATTGTTTTGGCTATTTGGGGTCTTTTGTAGTTACTTATTAATTTCAGGATTGTTTTTTCTATTTCTGTAAAGAATGCCATTGGGATTTTGATTGGGATTGCATTGAATCTGTAGGTCACTTAAGATAGTATGGACATTTAACAATATTGAAGACTCTAATCCGTGAATACTGGATATCTTTGCATTTCTCTGTCTTCTTTAATTTCCTTCATCAATGTTTTGTAATTTTCAGTGTATCAGTTGTTCACTTATTTAAGTTTATTCCTAAGTTTATATTCTTTTTGCTCTTAATGTAAATGGGATTGTTTTGTTAATTCCTTTTTCAGATAGTTTCTTGTTACTGTATAGAAATGCCACTGATCTTTGCATGTTGACTTTATCTCCTGTAAATTTGTTGAAATTATTTATTAGTGCTAACAGCTTCTTTGTTCAAACTTTAGGATTTTCTACACATAAGATCATGTCGTCTGCATACAAAGACTATTTTATTTCTTCCTTCCCAGTTTGGATTCCTTTTATCTATTTATATGTTTATCGTGCTATTTTTAAAATTTCTTAAAAGGGTCACATTAGTTTATAACATTATTTAAACTTCAAGTGTATATTATTTTATTTCAACTTCTGCGTATACTACCTCATGTTTCTGACCGAAAGTTGCCATCCATCACTGTACACATGTGCCCATTTACCCTTCACTTCCCTTTTCTTGATTAATTGCTCTGCCTAGGATTTCCAGCACTCTATTGAATAAATGTGGTGAGAGTGGGCACACTGGTCTTCTGACTGATCTTAGAGGAACCAATCATCAGTCAGCCCAGCCAGAGATTCTAGGTGCCTCTCAAAACTCTGCACTCATCCAACCTACTGGTGTTGTACTTAGCATTCCCCAGGAGTCTAGAATAATTCCAGTCCCATGAGTGTCCTGAGATAGGCGAGATAGTAGCCAGTCCTTCCAGGAGGAGGCAGAACATTTGAGGTGTTAGATGTGTGGTCCAGTTCCTTCTGTACTCAGGATAAAGCTAGGAGTTGGGGTTTATCATTTCACTTGCTCTGCCCTGAGCTAGAGAGGGCAGCTGTGGCAAATGCATGCATACACCTTCAGATTGCTGCTCTTTCAAACCATTATTTTGCTCTCTGGATCCCCTAGTCATCTGGCAAATTGTGATCTTTGTCAGCTCTCAGAGATGAGTTAATTAGAAGCCAGTCCCTTAGGCAGCAGCCTGAAAAGTTGGGGGTCTGGATGTGCTGTCCACCTCCTTCCAGGGAGAAACTGGGAGCTGGGCTTATCACCTGCTAAGTCAGCACTCAGCTGGGGATGAACTGTGAGATGTGCTCACGCCCCCATTCATAACTGATACTTTGTCCTCTGTAGGCACCTGGAGACTAGCAAATGCGGGGGCCTCTAGCTCCCAGAGACAACAGAGTTAGAAGCCAGACCCTGGAGTAGCAGCTGGAAACTTGGGGCAGGAGATGTGGGCTTCCAACCATTTGCTCCTGAAGTAGAAGCTGGGAGTTGGGTGTTCCTTTCCGACTGGATGGTGCTACAGCAGGGATGGGGCTTATGATGGGAGTGTATCTCAGTTTCTCCTACCAGTTAAGATATTGGCATTTTCTCACTCCTGTGGTTTGCAGGAATCTCTCAATGAGTTTTTGTATGTCTAATAAAAGGAAGTGATACACGTATAGCTGTTAATTTGCTGTGTCTAGGGGAGAGGGTGAGGTCGAAGCATGCTGTTCTGCCATCTTACCAACATCTCTCTATTTTTTTCAAATTTACACTTACGTTGGGTTTTCTTTGCTTTTCTTCTTCTAATCTCTTAAAATGGAAGCAATTCTTGATTTTCAGTCTTTATTCTTTTCTATTACATCTATTTAATGGTAAAATTTTCCTCTCAGCACTATCTTAGTGTCAAGTCCCAAAATTTTATTTAACATGTTTTTATTATCAGTCAGTTCAAAATATTTAATCTCTTCTCTTTTTATTTCTTCTTTATCCACATGTATTTAACAAATGAAGCAGAGTTCAGTGAGGAGACACAGTAACTGACAGGAGTCTACTTTTACTGTTTTAAGTTAAATTATATGTAATTTGAGGAATCATCATTTTAGGCTTAGAAGATCAATGAATGTGTTTATCTTTGTCATCTTCATTGAACTCCTTATATCCATATAGTTTATGCACCCAATTATGATGACCAACATTTCAAAATCTCAGAGCCAAAGACTACGGTAGCTATGGTGGAAGATTCTCTGAGATCATCACCTGATCTGAGATACCCCAATTGTTTAACTGAGTTCTGGGGTTGCTTAAAAAATCCAAACTAGGTAAATTTAATGCAAGCCCCAGGAAAGGACTCATTGCTAGGAGAGCTCTGGCATACTGCAGGATTCCAGATCCATCAGACTGACAGATTTCTAGTGATTTCTTAGAAGGGATTCTGGATTCTGAGTATTTTAAATCTTGCTTTGTTCCAAAGACTTTTTAATGGAGTATCTTGATTTAATATTTTTGGAAACTCATAGCTCATTTTCTCTGACAGAAGAAGGTCAATGATTAGAACTTTTCCAGGTTTTCCTTTACCAATGACGTGTGCTTGTCTTTTCCTTATGCTTCCTCTGTTTTAGAAACATGTTCAAAATCAGATATAGAAATTGAGAATGGATTTATTTCTGAACCTGACTTTACATATCCCTTCTATAAACGGGCACAATATAAGTGTAAACCAGGATATGTAACAGCAGATGGTAAAACATCAGGATCAGTTATATGTCTGCAGAGTGGATGGTCAGCTCAACCCACATGCGTTAGTAAGTAATTGATGATGTTAGTTTTCATTATCCTGATGGTCATTGTACAAAACTTCACTTTAATTCTTCTTTGGGGGCGGGGCTAAGGTGGTTCCATTTGAAAAGATAAAAAAAAGCTTTGAGAAAAATGTATAATTTTTTGCCTTCCAAGATTAATTACTAGTGGGGTAGAATATCAGTCCATATTTCAGTTCAAGTTTTTCCGCTTTAAGACCTTCTGGGGTTTTGAAACTAGTTGGGGAGCCCTATGCGTATTCTTTGTAAACTCGTTTGTTATTTACTGAGAGCTTTGTGCCTGTTGCGTCTGCTTTTAGGTGATCAGACTTTTATGTCACAGTCTTTGCTCCTAGGCATGAAAGGTTTTTTTAAGGTGAAGATGCGGGTTCATAAGGCATAATTTTGGATTATGTATAATTTACATATATTTGATACTACAGGATAGGTCCACTTCTGAAAACTCCTTTCCCTTAGGAAATCTTCCTCAACATCTAATAGGTGGAGACTGAGAAACACTTCTAGATAGTACCAAACTTTGCTGTGTTGAAAGAGTTCCCTGTCCTACTACCTGGATGTTTATGGCGATTTTCTAAGAACAATTTGCTCAGTTTATCTTATTACCCTAAAGCCACACAGTGATACTTTTTGAAATGGCATGTAACATATACACTTTAAGTGACGAAGGTATTTAAAATATCCATTTTTACCGTTTTCGTTTCATTTTTATCAATCTCTATGCTTACTATGAGCACTAGCCAAAGAAAAAAGATGTTAATAGTTGCCTCCATAACAAATTCGTTTTATTCTAAATTGTGATCAGTTTTCTCTTATAACAGTTGTTATAGAAGAGGAAATGTTTCTATTAAATAAATGTTTTACCAGTATAGTTTTGCTTTTTTTTAAAAAAGCTTTAAACTGCTGGGTGCATACATTATAAAATTTGAGATAAATTATTTAAACTTTATCAACATCACTCTAGTATCATGTTAGTGAAAATTGAGACTACTTTTTAACATTTTACTTTCCTATAACTAATTATAAACAATAGAATTCTCTCTAGATTTAATGTTGGTAAGTATAAAAGGATATACAGCATTTAGGAGAATATTTGGGAAAGCAGCGTCAGCATATGAGCTTTAAAAATTAGTATGTTTTAATGCACACTTTTATAGAATATTTTAAAAGTTACTTGCATTGTTCCAAATTAATCTTTTTATTCAACTAATTCATTTTTCTCTGACATATATGTTATAACTGCTAACTCACAAAATGCTATTCTGATATCCTAACAATGTACTGGACTATTTCACTAATAACGTGGGATAAATGCATATGCATAGTTGAATTGAGGAGAATATTCTTAAAGTAAACTTTCAGAGATTTTAAGTGGTGAGAAAAATGCTATGTAGAAATATTTTGTTTTGTGTAATGATTACATGACAATGATTTATCACTGATATCCTTAGATTTTTTCATATGATACTTAATTTATCAGCATATACTAATTGAGAAAGGTTTTTTATTTTTTCCCTTAGGATGGAACTTACTCAGTTAGATTGTCCATTTAATAATATTAGAAATCAATTCTCTTATGCATTAGAATATTGTGATATGCCATTATTTAAGAATGCCAGAGCCAAAAGTGACAGAACATGGTTTAAGCTCAATGACACATTGGACTATGTGTGCCGTGATGGATATGAAAGCAGAAGTGGACACGCCACAGGCTCCATAGTTTGTGGTAAGGATGGTTGGTCTGATACAGCCACGTGTTATGGTAAGTACTGTTTTTTCAGGTCTTCTTTTCTCCTGGATTAACAAAATTAACAAAATTTGTTCCAAATGAAACATTTTCAACAAATTTGAAACATCTATAGTCATGTCATTTTATGCAACAATGATTAAAATCAAGGTGTCTCGTTCTGAATTTATGTAAATTGGGAAGAGAGGGTGTTTTGAAGCCCAAAGATCATAATATACTTTTACATGTTGTGTTAAAGTAATGTTTCCTATGGGCCATATACACCATAGATTTGTGAGTAAAGTACAATTGTTTTAGTTATTCTAAACGGAAACTTTCATGTTCTTTAAAACTGGGCACTCATTAGCAAAATTCTAATTTCTTACCACTCACTCAGCTATTTTGCTCCTGAGTTTCTGCTTTACCCCTCCCACCCTGAGTGTTCATTTCTGCAGGCCATTAGAGGAGCTCTTTATTTTCCAAGCTTGAACAAGTTCTGTGGACTAGGACATGACTCTCTTTAATGTTTGCCGACCAGCTGTCTGTTTTCCAGGGTTAGAAGTAGGGCTTGAATTTGTGGAAAACTGAGTGGATGCAGAGTGTTCCAAGCCAAAGGAACAGTGTGTGCAAAGCTTTGGAAAAAGTACAACATGTGGGAAAAGTCAGGGGGGTGGATTGTACTCAAGAGAATCTCATGAGCTGAGTCTGGACAGGAGGCAAAGGAAGGCTTATCCAGGTTGTTTCAGTGCATGTTCGCAACTTGATTAATTTTACGCTTGACAAAAAGCCACAGAGGAGTTTGAAGGAAAGGAATGATATAATTTTTCTTGGATTTTTGAAAGTTTTCTTTTCCTTTATGTTGTGCTTGTGGTGAATAAAGAAGATTCAGGAGTCCATGTAGGGTGAGAAAGAGTGGGGATTGTGATACGACGGTGACTGAGAGACGCAGAGCAGAGGAGAGATATGAGATACATTTTGGTGGTTGAAAGCAAAGGCAAAGTTATGAAATGTTCAATGTGTTAAACATTTGAACATTAAACTTAAAACATTAAAGTTTAATGTTTTAAACTTTAAACATTAAAGTCATGAAGTGAATAAGAAAGTGTAAGAGGTCAACTCACATGTTTATTGATTTGATTTTTCTGAGCAAGCAGGTAAATGGCAATGCCTTTTGGTGACATGGTTCTCGCAGGAGAGAGAGCGTTTTGGAAGGGCCATCACAACTTTTGACTTGGACACATTATGGTTGGGCTGCCCATGGACAATGAAAATCAAATATGTAAACCACAGTTAGATGTGTAGGTCTAGCCAAGAGATATACTTGTGGGATTACCACCATATAAATGATGATATCAAATTGGAAAAGAATATAGAATGAAAGGAAAAGAGAGCTCAGGACTGGACCCTGAAGTGCTCCAACATTTAGGTGTCAGACAGAAGAGCAATAGGCAGCTAAGTAGATGGAAAAAAGGGGGCTTTTGAGAATCGGGAGAAAAAAGGGTAGGAATGAAGGTCGTCCTAGATATGGAGAGAAGGAAATGACTAAAGGAAGAGGAGCTAGACCAGAATGATGAATAGTGGAGCCTGTGGAGTCAGCCTGGCCAGGTTCTACTTCCATTCTAACATTTGCTAAGCAGGTATCTTAGGTCAACAACCAAGACTATCTGAAGCTTTGTTTACTCTTCCTTATCTGTAACGTGTTTTAATATTTACAATTGTCAAAATATTTCAAAGGCTTGTGTTGATCAATAGACTAAATTATCCATATAAAGTTCTTGCCACAGTGCCTGCCATATAATAAACTCAAGGAAATTGTAGTCCAATTATATTATTTTATTATGATAATTCAAGTAGTGAATGTGTCTAATTCAGTTGATACGTCCAGATTGAAGAGTGTAAAAGTGTGATGGATTTGGCTACATCGATGCCAAAAATAACTGTAACAGGAGCAGTTTTCGATGGAGTATACAGGGCAAAACCTATATAGAATTTACTGAAGAAAAATGATTAGTAACAAATTTCATATAGCATATGGGCAGAACTCTTTCAAGAAAGTTGGCTGTGTCAGACAATAGGAGTTTCAGAAAATTGCTAGAGGAAATTATGCACTGAAGGGAGTATTTATGTTTTAAAGTTGGGAGACATGAGAGTGGACTGAATGCTGGGGAGGATGGAGTAGGGAGGGAAGCAGGCAGAGATGGAACACATGAGGTGGATAGTTCCCTGTGAAGGTGGGAGAGAAAGGGAACCAGGGCTCCCGTGGAAGTACCAGCCTTTGGTGCGGACAGGGCTACTTCCAACTTTTCACAGGAGGAAGGAAGGAAGGAAATGAGTGTGTAAACGTCATGCTGGGAAGAAGCAGGAGCTGATGGTTTCTATTTTCCAAAGAAGTACGAGACACAGTCATCTGAGATTGAGTGGTGCATGGGGAGAGGAGCAGAAGGAACACTAGGTGGAGCAGAAAAGTTTCTAAGAGAGACTTCTGAGAGAGATGCAGGTGAGCTTCTTAGAGAGCTGAGGTAGACGTGCTTAGCAGTGTCTCGGTCCCGCTTAAATCTGATTCACTCAGGCTGTCAAAAAACACTTATCATGGGCTAGAAATAGGCCAGGAGAAAATGGTGAGAAACACAAACATGGGTCTGCATTTCAAGAGCTTTCATCTCAGCATGAAAAACACCAATGAATTAATCCAAATAATGAAATGAATGGTAAAAATATTTTAAATATATTTGATGTATAACTGTGTTCAAAGAAACAAAAGAATCCAAGGACTTAGAATACAGGAGGGGATTGAAACATCTACTTTATAGAGGAATGCATCTATGCAAAGAAATGTTGATAATCTTGGAAAAAAATCAAAGATTGTAAAGCCCGGAGTCTGGAGTGACAGGGGGAGGGAGATATGAGATGACATTGGAAGTGCAGGCTAAGGAGGGGTCGAAAAGAGTTTGGATTTGATTCTAAGTAGAAGGGGAGGCTTTTAAGATGATCGTAAACTTCCTTTCTTGGATTAGAAGCAGATGCTGGTTTTGTGAAGCCAAAAGCTTTTACAATTTTGAGGAGTTTTCTTTTAAAAACAGGAATGCAAAATCATGAATATATAATTCCCATGGTGTTTCCCGTGTCGCCACATGACAGGAAACGTAAAAGAGAGGAAGTAGGAGCGACAGAGACAGCAGTGGCAACTAACGGCAAATTTTATAAAAACGTATGACCTTGTGAACACATTGGTAGGAATTCACCACGACAGTGTAGGCGTCCAAAATTTGAAAGAACAAATGACAGCTTAGTATTCTTTTCAACTAACTTCTCTCAACCACGTAGCAGAAAATTGCACACAGATTGGCTGAAATCTGAGTTTATTTCAAATGTCCTGTGTGTTCTCTCCTTTGGGGAGAGGTTTCCAATGAGTAGTTGCTATCACAAGCCACTTAAGCCCAAAATATTTACAGCAATCTTAAATTAATGTACACTTCAGAGAAAAAATTCATACTCATGTTTCCAAGAATCAGTGCTAGGATTTAGGATTTTGACTTTGGATAAAGACAAATATCCCTAATTCAGAGTATGCCCATTCAAACTCTTCTTTAAATCACATTTCTTAAGTCATTATCTTTTTGTTGTTGTTGTTTTTAAGATTGGCACCTGAACTAACAACTGTTGCCATTGTTTGTGTGTGTGCTTTTTCTCTCCAAAAACCCCCAGTGCATAGTTGTATCTTTTAGTTGTGGGTCCTTCTAGTTGCGGCGTGTGGGATGCTGCCTCAGCATGGCCTGCTGAGCGGTGCCTTGTCCACGTCCAGGATTGGAACTGGCAAAACCCTGGGCCACCAAAGCAGAACACACGAACTTAACCACACAGGGCCGGCCCCCCCTTAAGTCATTATCCTTATATAAATATAACGGTTCAAAAATAGCCAACAGCCAAGATCTTTTGTTGTTGTTGTTACAGCAGCATTTTTCACAATGTGATGAGACAGAAAATTTATATAAAATGAGCACCAAATATATAAACAAAGACACATACAAGTGAAAGAATTGCTACGTAGAAAATTGGAATTGAATTTTAGGAGAAGAATCCAAGTGGTTCTCATCAAGCCTTATCTTCTCAACTAAGCTACAGAAGTCAACATTAAAACAATAAAAAAGCTTATTTCACTTAACACAATTCTCTCAAGGTCCATCCGTGTTGTTGCAAATGGGACGATTTTGTTCTTTTTTATGGCTGTGTAGTAGTCCATTGTATATATATACCATATCTTCTTTATCCAATCATCTGTTGATGGTCACTTAGGTTGCTTCCACGTCTTGGCTATTGTAAATAATGCTGCAATGAACATAGAGGTGCATGGGACTTTTGGAATTGCTGATTTCAGGTTCTTTGGATAGATACCCAGTAGTGGGATAGCTGGATCGTATGGTATTATGTTAAGTGAAATAAGCCAGATAGAGAAAGACAATCTCTGTATGACTCCACTCATATGAGGAATTTAAACATGTGGACAAAGAGAACAGATTAGTGGCTACAGGGGAAAGGTGGTGTGGGGGGGTGGGCACAAAGTGTGAAGGGGTGCACCTACAACACGACTGACAGACAATAATGTACAACTGAAATTTCACAAGATTGTAACCTATCAATTCAATAAAAAATAAAAAAAACTAAAAAAACAAGAAAAAAGCAAATTTATTGTGTTTCTTTGTGTGGCATTACTTTCAATAACAGTTTACATATCTAATTTTATGAATATGTTTTAATACTTGACTTTTAGACAGTATAAAATGTCATTTTAGTCTGATTCTAATTTTTAAATTAGTTTTTCATTTTTAAGTTAATTAGCAAGATAGAAAAATTCCAAATGATAAAAATGCATTTTTTTTAAATATTTAGGAATGTCACAAATTTTACAAGTTTTAAGGGACTATTTTACACATTTCTAATTTGGATCAGAATAATTAACAATTTATTAGTAGGTAGTGTAAATTAAATGTATAGTAAGAATACATGGTTGTATATATGTAACTATTTGGAATACCTAGAATTTGCCTAGCTATGTGACTCGAACATGTTTCTTCAGTTTATTTCATGTTTCAGTGTGATTCTTCGCTTACAGAATATTAATTAAGCAGTTTTCAGTGTTCCTCTAACTAAAGTGCATTAGAAATCCCTCTTCTGTGTGTTCTTGTTTCCCAATTGAATTCAGCAAAAATACCAATTTTTATTTGTGTGCAATTTAAAAATTGCAGCATTAGTTTTTTAATGTGAGAAAATACTTTTATGTCGTGAGAGTACAGAAAATGTAACATTAAATTTTATGAGTGACAGTGATAAAATCAGATCTAGACTAAGCAAGCTGACTTTACAAATAAATTTGCAGGACACGTATATTGCTGTTCAATGCCGTAATATTTCTCAAAGAGTCTTATGTGGATTTAGAGGGTGTAGAAAACCTAGTATGTAACAGTTTTCAAGCAAGAGGTTTACCTGGTGCCTCTGTATATGCAGTTCCCAGCACCTCTTTTCACATGACACATGTAAAACTACTTTGGCAATGATTATACATTCTCATTAAATTATTTGACCTTTGTTATAGAAAGAGAATGCAAGATTCCCCAAATAGAAAGATATTTAAATGTTGACCCCAAGAATGACATTTACAAAGTTGGATCCGTGTTGAAATTCTCCTGCAGACAAAGACGTATAATTGTTGGAGCAGATTCAGTTCAGTGCTACCACTTTGGATGGTCCCCTGGTTTTCCAACATGTAAAGGTGAATACATGTTTTACAATTGCTGAAACAAAGATTAAAATTGTGGATATCAACATTGTTTTTCTCTTTTAATTTTCTGTTGGCTTGCAGTGTGTCTATAAGCTAATACATTAACCCAGAGATATACCTGCGACAGACATGTGTTCTGTAGTGGATACTGCAGATTTACTTCCTTAAGAAATGAATCTCCAATTGTTTCCTGAAATACGCAGTGGAAGTCTCTGTACATACATACATGGTATCGGACACTAGGGGGATTTCGTTTATTACTTTTCCTTTGCCTACAAGCCCGCCATTAATGTTGGACATTTTACATGGCATGGGCCTTACCTCAAGTTTCACTGAGTATGTCTAAAGAATATTGAAGCAGCTCATAGTCAGTTCAGTCACAGGTATGACTTGATCAAGGCGAATATGTGTTGATCAAATGCTTGCCTGAAATGATGGTATTTTTTTCAAAAAGTTTTGATAAAATGTTTCGGTGGAATATGAATATTGCTGTAAGTTATACACTATATATATTAACTGGTTTGCATACATCTTTAGAGTATCTAGATTATTGAAGATATTTTCTGGGCTTAAATATACTTCCAATGTGCTACTTCAGTAGTATAAGTAATAGAACCAGGAAACATGAACCTGCAGTAAACACCATAGTTTTGTCGTTGTTTAAGAATGCTTTAATAAATTAGCCAATAAATAATAAATTAATGAAAGAAAAAATCTCTCCATTTGACTGGGTTTTTAAGTTGTAAGTAGACAATTTAACCACTAATTACACAGCATTTCTACTGTAGCTGAAGTAAGATCGTGTGGTCCACCTCCTCAACTCCCGAATGGGGAAGTTAAAGAAGCACAGAAGCAAGAATATGGACACAGCGAAGTGGTAGAATGTGTTTGCCATCCTGGATTTCTGCTGAAGGGTTCTAACAAAATTCAATGCGTTGATGGAGAATGGACCACCTTGCCTACGTGTATTGGTAATGTATGAAAATATTAATATTTAAACTTAAATCAACACTTTGTTTTCATATACATACACAAATAAACATATTTTTGTGAAATTTTCACAGAGGAGGACAGTACATGCGGAGATGTACCTGGCCTTGATCATGGCTATGTCGAGCCTTCTGACCCTCCCTATCGCCATGGAGACTCAGTAGCGTTCACTTGCAGAGAAGCATTTACAATGATTGGACACAAGTCAATTATGTGTATTCGTGGAACGTGGACCCAACTTCCACAGTGCATTGGTGAGAATACACTTCTCAAATTGGCATTCAATAGGATTTAATATTTTTATTGTAAAAACTGTATTCACAACCATATTTTTAAAATTTAGATATATTCTTGAACATGTCGGTTTTAAATTATAATGAATCCCAACATTTGTTGTTGATAATTCAATATGTGTGTCCAGAGGACAGACATAAAATAGCAGTAGAAATTTCTGAATCTTTCTGTCTCTCATATTAATATTGTTTATAAGTGTGAAGCTACTTTTTACCTATAGGTATGTATATGATTAAAATAGTACTAATTACCAGGAAAATAGAACTATATTTGCACAGGTACCATTTTTGTTTTTCTATGGTACTCTTTCTTTCAGGCCCTGGCAAACAAGGAAATAAAGTTGAGGAAATATGCATTTGCTACACTCCTACAGAAATCTTGCCTCTCTCAGAGCTTCTAACAATGATAATTTTTCAGTCCGTTTCAAATGCAGTAAAAGAAGTTAATGAGCCGGAGGGTGGGTGGGTCACAAGCTCTCTTGTTCAGTAGCGACGCCCAGTCATAGAAGACAGTCAGGGTTGGGCCAGGAAACTAACCTGATTGATGCCCTTTGCCCTGTAAGTGAATCATCCGCACCTTTGGATGACCACGTCTTTGATGACTAACTGGGAGAATCTTGGGGACCCTCTTGATTTTCCTTTAGAATGAGTTCTTTCCTGGAGTTTTGTGGGTCCTGCATTCAAAGAGAGCCCTGGATGTCCAGTGTTAGTTATTCATCAGACTTCTAGTCATTACTTCTTCAAGGAGAAGGTAGAGCTGAGCCTCTGCTCCTCTAGAGCAGGATTTCATATGTGTTTGGCTCACTGTGTATTCTCAACACCCAAAAATGGGCTGTACATGTAGGTGACATTTAATAGGAGTTTGTTACATGAATCAGTAAATTTTGTTGCTTCTTAATCCTTAGGTTTTTCTAAACACATTCCTCTCAAAGGTATTGTAAGTCCTTCAAGACCAAACCTCATCTTTGCCCTGTTCTGTCTCCACAAATGATCTTATCTCATTTCGTATGAGGGAAAAACCCAAGGCAATATTAGGTATGAAATTTCTCAACTTTCATTCTGGCTTATACCAAACATCTGCTTCAATTGTTACTGTCTTCTGTTCTCAGAGCTTTCCTTTCTGAGGTGAATCCTCTACCTATATTCGACTTCACGTACTCCCCTGCCAGCTGTCAGAGGCTTTATTCCAAGTTTCTCCTCTCAATGTTTATTTTGCACCTCCCTCTACTCTGGCTGTTCACTCATCTCACTGTGTTTATTTTCTCCTAATAAACAAAGAAATCCTTTCAGAAACCAAAAAATCACAGAACAGAATGACAACCTTCACCACCACTCCCTTTGACTATTGATCTTCCTTCAGTTACCGTCTCTTGAGGAAGATCTAGTTTTGTCTTCCTCAACACGCTGGACTAGTCCTAAAAATAGCACTATTTCTCCAGCCTCTGGTGTGTTTTGAGTTAGTCTCTTTTATTTTATTTTTTTTCAAGGTTGCAGTACAAAATCATTACATTTCGTTGAACAATTACTTGACTTTTCTTTATTCTGTTCATCCTTACTTGACTCTGATCATTAACAAATCATTAACAAGTACTGCTAAAAACCTACAATGATATTTTATCAGAATCAAACAGGATTCTCATCTGCATTGAATTTTTGAAATATGTAACTATTTTAAAAGCTTCTATAGTCAATATTTAACTTATACTCAAACCAGCAAAAGTTTACTATTATGGCATTATAATATTATTGAAATATAGAATGATCTGGTGTATAAATTAGCTTCTTGAAAATTCTGAGAGTACATATGGAAAACGTTGTGACCTTAAGAACCCAATTTCTTATTCCAATTTTGTGTCTCTGTTTAAATGTCTGCTTTAATATTCACATTCTATACAATATACCTTAGATGTACTTTTCTTATTATATTACCCCACCTTTCTTGAAAAAATGTCTTTAAACTAACAACTTCTTATCGTCTAGTTCCACAAATAATTATTTTATTTTAATATTTAAAGACTTTGGGTAAAAAGTACTGTAGAGATACTTGAGATCAAGAAAGAAATGTATGTGACCATTTGCACAGATTTTAAATATGGAACCAAATTTAACCATGGGATGACTATTCGCTATGTACACCATCCACAAAAGTCAACCTCTTATGCTCTTCTAGTCCCCTAAATGCAAAATGTTTTTATGATGGATATTTTCTATGAAATTTCAAATACTGGACACAGGATTTACGTTCATACAGAATAGCCCATCTTGTGCAATATGATCTGGAACCAAGTTTGGTTGGTGGAATGTATAGGCATACATTTTAATTTCATAATACTATTGACCGTATAGCTATTTATTTTGTCGTAGTCGCTTTGATTCTTCTAATTAGTCTTTTCAAGAAAACATTTTCATGTTATAGCAACAGATGAACTTGCGAAGTGTAAATTGTCAAAGTTAATTACACGTGAGGAAAGCTATTCACATAAGATTGAATTTAATCATAACGCCAACATAAGTTACAAATGTAGAGGAAAATACAAACACTCAACCTGCGTAAATGGAAGATGGGAGCCTGAAGTAACATGCACGGGTAAGCTCTTATTTGCAATCTTTTTAAAGTTTTATTCTATTTCTTCCTAACTTGTAAAAGTAATATATGTGTCTTTCTAAAAACTTTAGCTATTTATTATGACAAATAAGGTTCAAGCTGGAAAGTAGTTTAGAAACTAACCAAACCCTGATTCTACGTATTACTTGTATCGTGTGCAGCAGTCAGCTATAGAACAAACCACCCAGAAACTTGATGACCGCAAATTAAGATCTGGACAGTAGGTGTGCTCATTACTATGAGAGCACTAGTGCTTCTAATTCCTTCTATTACTTGCAAATCTCCCTATGCCTACGCCTGTGACTATTATGTATGAATATATCTGTCTACGTATTTATCTATGTTTGTATGTATCTGTCTCTAGTTATCTATTTATCTATATCTATCTTAAAAACTCTGAGTCATCTTGACACCACCAATTTCAATTGAACAGTACATAGTTAGTTGCAGTTTTCCACGTTTCATATCTCTATTTTTCTTCTCTAAGTGTAGGACACCTTGACTCAGTCTCCACAATATTTTTACCAATTTAATCAATCCTAGAATATACAGAGAGTGGTTTCACAGCAATATAAAAACTAATCTCCTATCTACAGTTTAGTACATTTTTAGTTCTTATTTATTTATTTCTTTATTTGAGCCTTGAAAGTATTTTATTTTATTTTATTTGTTTCAGCTATTTTATTGAGGTCATAATGGCTTATAACGTTGTGTGATTTCAGGTGTATGCTATTATTTATCAGTTTCTCTATAGACTGCATTGTGCATGCCACCAATAGTCTAATTTTTATCCATCACCATATATGTGTGCCCCTTTACCCCTTTCACCCACCTCCTAACCCCCTTGCCCTCTGGTAACTGCTAATCTGTTCTCTTTAACCACCTGTTTGTTTATGTTCCACATGTGAATGAAATCATGTGGTGTTTGTCTTTCTCTGTCTGGCTTATCTCCCTTATCATTATACTCTCAGGTCTATCCATGTTGTTACAAATGGGACAATTTTTTCTTTTTTGTGGCTCAGTAGTATTCCACTGTGTATACATATACCACATCATCTTTATCCATTCATCAGTTGATGGGCACGTCTTGGCTATGGTGAATAATGCTGCAATGAATATAAGGGTGCATAAATCTCTTTGAATTGTTGGTTTCAGTTGCTTTGGATAAATACCCAGTAGTGGGATAGCTGGATTGTGTGGTATTTCCATTTTTAGTTTTTTGAGAAGTCTCCATACTGTTTTCCATAGTGGCTGCACGAGTTTGTGTTCCCACCAGCACTGTGTGAGGGTTCTGCTTTCTCCACATCTCCTCCAATATTTGTTATTTTTAGTCTTGGCAATTATAGCCATTCTGACAGGTGCAAGGTGACATCTCACCGCAGTTCTGATTTGCACTTTCCCAACAATTAGCAATGCTGAACATCTTTTCAGGCACCTGCTGCCCATCTGTACATCTTCCTTGGAAAAATGTCTGCTCATATCCTCTGCCCATTTTCTGATTGGATGGTCTGCTTTTTTGTTGTTGGGTTGTATGAGTTCTTTATATATTTTGGAAATTAATCCTTTGTAGGATATATGCTTGCAAATATTCTCCGTTGATGGGTTTTCTTTTTGTTTTGTTTGTGATTTCCTTTGCCTTGCAGAACCTCTTTACTCTGAGGTAGTCCTATTTGTTTATTTTTTTCTTTTGTTTCCTTTGGCTGAGTAGTCACAGTATTTGAAAAGATGCTGCTAAGACCAATGTCAAAGAGTATACTGCCTATATTTTCTTCTAGAAGTTTTATGGTTTCAGGTCTTACATTCAAGTCTTAAATGCACTTTGAGTTAATTTTTGTGTATGGTGTAATATAATGGTCCATTTTCATTATTTTGCATGTGGCTGTTCAGTCTTCCCAACACCATTTATCAAAGAGAACTTCCTTCTCCATTGTGTGTTCCAGGCTCCTTTGTCAAAGATTAGCTGTCCAGAGATGTGTGGTTTTATTTCTGGGCTTTCAATTCTATTCCATTGATCTGTGTCTGTTTTTGTGCCAGTACCATGCTGTTTTGATTAGTATAGCTTTGCAGTATATTTGGAAGTGAGGGATTGTGATGCCTCCATCTTTGCTCCTTTTTCTCAGGATTGCTTTAGGGATTTGGAGTCTTTCCTTGTTCCATATAAATTTTAGTATTCTTTGTTCTATTTTCATGAGGAATGTTATTGGTATTCTGATTGGGATTTCATTGATCTTTGGATTACTTTAAGTAATATGGACATTTTAAATATGTTTATTCTTCCAATCTATGAGCATGGAATATCTTTCCATTTCTTTATGTCATCTTTGACTTCTTTCAATAATGCCTTGTAGTTTTCAGTGTCTAGGTCTTTCACCTCCTTGGTTAAATTTGTTCCTAGATATTTTATTCCTTTTATTTGGGATTTAAATGGGATTGTATTCTTGAGTTCCCTTTCTGCTATCTCGTTATCATTGTCGTATCATAGAAATGCAACTGATTTTTGTAAGTTGATTTTGTACTGTGCAACTTTGCTGTAGCTGTTGATTATTTTTTATATTTTTCTGGTTGGTTTTTTAGAGTTTTCTACATATAGGATCACGTCATCCACAAGCAGTGAGAGTTTCACTTCTTCATTGCCAATTTGGATATCTTTTATTTCTTTTTCTTGCCTAATTGCCTCAGCAATAACCTCCAGTACCATGTTGAATAGGCATGGCAAGAGTGGCCACCCTTCTCTTGTTTCTGTTCTCAGAGAGATGGCTTTCAGTTTTTAACCATTGAGTATGATTTTGTCTGTGGGTTTGTCATATATGGTCTTTATTATATTGAGGTAATTTCCTTCTATAGCCATTTTATTGAGAGGTTTTATCATAAACGCATGTTGGATCTTGTCAAATGCAATCTCCGCATCTATTAAGATGATCATGTGATCTTTATTCCTCATTTTCTTAATGTAGTATATCACATTGCTTGATTTTGCGGATGGAGAACCATTCCTCCATCCCTGGTATAAATCCCACTTGATCATGTTGTATGATACTTTTAATGTATTGCTGTATTAGGTTTACCAATATCCGTTTGGTTGTAATTTAGCGGGGAGAAACTAAAGGAACAGTCCATTTGTCCATTTATCTCTCTTTAGCCCTGCCACATTGCCTTGATAACTACAGCATTACATTAAGTCCTGAAATCTGATGTGTATATATATATATATATATATATATATATATATTCTCCCATTATGTTCTTCCTTTTCAAGTTTGTTTTAGTTCTTCTAGCCTTTTCATTAACATAGAAATTTCAGGGAACACATCAATTTCTATAGCATGTCTGCCAGTATAACGAAAAGGATGGTTTATATAATAAAAGATACATTAGGGAGAACTGACATCTTAAGCATATTGAGTGTTCAATCCCATAAACATGATATATCTCCTAAATTATTTACTTTTGCTTCTGTTTTCCCACTTTTTTTCCATAATATCTGTTACCAATCTTCCTCCTTTTTTCTCCTTTTCTTTATCCTCCAAAGCCCCACTACATAATTGTGTATAGTTCTAAGTTCTTCTGGTTCTTCTAGCTGCCACCACAGCATGGCTACTGACAGATGAGTGATGTGCTTCTGTGCCTGGGAACTGAAGCTGCAGAAGTGGAGGCACTAGGCCATCAGGGCTGGCTCCCCAGTAATGTTTGAAATGTAGAAGATTTACAGTTCCAGGAAATTTGTTCATATTTTATTTTTAATATTATTAAGGTAATTTTTCGAAATTACATTTCACTTTTTTGCTGCAAGTATAAAGAAATGCACTTGATTTTTGTATATTAATTTTATCCTCTGAAACTATACTAAGTTGCCTTGTTAATTCTAGGTATTGCTTTGTAGGTCTCTTACAGTTTTCTGTAAAGAACTATATGGTTGCAAATACAAGATTTTATTTCTGCTGGTCTATTTTTATTTTTATTTTTTGTCTATTTTCTTATCTTGTTGCACTGACTAGGACCTCAAGGAAGCTGTTGAAAGGAAGTGATGAGAACAAATGTCTTTGTCTTATTCTTGACCATTGGGAGAGCATATTCAATGTTTTACTACAACTATAATGTCAGTGTAGGATTTTTGTAGATGCCCTGTATGAGATTAAGGGAATATCCTTCTGTTCCAACTTAGCTGAGTGAGAAATTGTACCATCAACCATGGTTGAATGTTTTTAAATGGCTTTTATGATCTATTGATTTGATAACATGACTTTCTTAATTACGTTAATGTAGCGCATGGCATATATAAATTTTTGAATCTTGAACAGATCTCTCATTCCTAGAGTTACCTCTCCTTGGTGGTGATATATTATACTCTCTCTATTTTCACGTACTTGGTTTGCTCATATATTTTTAAGGGTTCTTGCATCTATGTTCACGGGGGATATTAATCTGTAGTTATTTCTTTTGGAAATGTCTCTGCCAGGTTTTGTCATCAGGGATTTTGTGTCCTCATGAAACAAATTGAGAAGAGTTCTCTGCTCTTCTGTTTTCTGAACATACATATGCAAGAGTATTATCCGTATTATTGTTGTATTATTTCTTCCTTAAATGATGGATAGAATTCACCTGTGAAGTCATCTGATATGTAGATTGTTTTTTTGGAAGGTTTTCCTGATGAAGAATTTAATTTATTTAATAGGTAGTGGGCTATTCATATTTTCTATATTGTCTTTGGTCCAAATGTAAGGAAGTCATATTTTTCAATAAATATCTCTGTTTAATCTAATTTATCAAATTTGTTTGTATACAATTGTTTCTACTAGCCACTTAATATTTTGTTTTTATTTTAATTCTATAGTCTCTTAGGTGATATCACTTCTTTCCTTCTTGATAATGACATTTGTTTCTCTTTTTTATCTTAATCATTCTTCCTAAGGTTTTTTTTCATTAATATTTTCAAATCACCAATTTTAGCACTCTTAATTTTCTCCATTTGCTCTCTTTTCTATTTTTTAGCTTTATTAACATTCACTCTTTTAGCTCTATTAATTTCCTCTGTTTTCTCTTTGTCTTAATTTTCTCTGTTTCCTGTTCTGTGGAATTACTGTTTCCTTCCTTCTCGTCACTTTGATTTTAATGTACTCTTTTTCTCATTTCTCAAGTAGAAAATGAAAACGTGGCTTTAGACTCTCCTACTTTTTAAGTATAAACTGTAAAACTACACTTTTCTTTCTAAATACTGATTTAGCTGTCTCAAAAAACTTTTTATTCATTTTATTTTCATTTAATTCTGTACGTAATATTTTCTGACATTCCTTTTGATTTCTTCTTAGTCTTGTCAGTTATTTAGCAGTTTGTTCTTTAATTTCCAAATATTTATGCTTTTCTAAATAGTTTATTATCTTTTAAGAATGTATTGTGTTATGGTCGTTATATAAAGAAGTGCACATATTTAATGTATACAATTTGATGAGTATCATGAATGTTTGCATAGATAATTGATTTATTTATCTCTAATCTAATTCTATTGTCACAGAACTTACTGTAAAAGATTTCAATATTTTGAAATGTATTCATTCTTTTTTTGTCACATGGCGTATTTTCAATCTTTGTAATGTTGAAAAAGGTTGCATATAAAGTGTGGAAGAAATATTTTCATATGAAAATCTATGCATACTCTTGTTATTTGATCAGTTTAAAGTGGTTCATGGTGTTCTTTTAATTTACGTATGTCTTTTTAAACTTTTTTGTCTGGTTGTTTATCAGTCAGAGAAAGAAGACTCTCAGTGTTGCTAACCAGGATGGTGGATTTGCCTATTTCTTCCTTTCGTTCTGTCCATCTTTGCTCCATGTATTTAATGCATTTTTTAGATACATATAACTTTATGATCAATCTGTCCGTGTGAATTATGATTTGTATAATGATCAAATATTTATTGGCTATTTTTGTAATACTGCTTGTCTTGAAGTCTATATTATCTTATTTTAATAGTCAATTATTTTACAACAATTATTTCCATGTGATAAAAGAATTCCCAATGGATTTCAAATAATTAGTGTCCTCAAACCAGTCTCTCTAAATTAAAAGCAAAAATAAAATAAATAAGAACTAGCTACATACCTTATTCGTCCATCTTAAAAATCTGGAAAATAAAAAGATTACCCTTTATCAATGATTAACCAACAGAAAATCTTTTAAATAAAATGGCAATGGTAGCACTACACATTGAACTCTATGGGATACAGCAAAGGCAGATATTTATAGCTTTAAAACATGCATTATAAAATTAAGAACAAAATAAAAGCAATAAGTATTACAATCTAGAAGTTAGAAAAGAATATAAACCCAAAGAATATCAAAGATTATTAGGAGAAGCTTAAAAATGCATAAAGAGTTGATTTGCAGAATAACAATTCAGCTTTTAGGGAAATTTAGTAGATGGACCAATCTTTGGCAAAAACTTATCAGGAAGTTCAACCTAAGATTCTCCAGACAAAGACAGCTAAATCTTAGATACAGAAGAAAATAAATCCTTGAGAATATAAAGAAAATAATGCCAAAATATTTAAAATAGATATATGAGAAAATGTTTTTGATAGAATATAAAATAGTCCTATTGACTTGAGAGAAGTATGGCAATATTTCTGATAATCTTAGTAAGCCTGAATGAAGTGTATTCAGTCAATTATTTGCCTGATGTGAATAGGAAATGTTGCACAATTGAAAGGATTTACAAGACTTCCCAGTATATCCTTGCATAATGAAATAAAGATACAGCATGAAATTTTATCATTTCATCAATATTTCATTCTTTCATCAATGTTTTCATTATTTTGAAATTCATTATCTTTATTGAAATAAAAACACAGTATGACAAGAGAAAGTGAAAGTAATAAATTGTAGAGAGGTCATAAAGCTTCCAGGGATAGTCATCCAGAGTCTTCCCTTGTTTGAACAAGACATGCTTTGTCTTCAGATTAGGAACTGCCAAGATACATCTGAGGTATCTCAGTTTTATGGGCGCTAAGACACAAGTTTACAAAGGGATATTTTATAACCTACTTGTTAGGTAACTGTAGCCAAGCCATCTAACCTGTTCAACTGGGTACATTATATCCATCTCTATATCCCTTAACAATGTAGGCAAGCTGATAAACAGTACCTCCAGGGGAGTTTTGAACTTTTAACAGCACACTATAAACCACTAGTGAACATGTCTACTTCTTATCTAGGCCAAGAAGCTCTATCAAATTAATTGATCACTAACTAAATGTGATTCTTCCTCTGGCTAATCAGCCTCCATTGGTAGAACATCTTTCCAGGGTTTTAATCTAATCACAAAATATTTGATCACCAATATCCATAAAAAGATCCCATTATCAGTCTTTATTTAGTGCCTAGTATTGAATGAGTAATTAAGTTAGAACCACCTAATTGTTAAAAGTAATCAAACTAGGTTTTACATAAATTATGCATGATTGGTCATAGAAAGAATAAAAGGAAGAAACTCCAAGGAAGACCATGAGAATATAAAGCAAACCTGGTAGATTAAAGGGCTATCCAAGCTGAAAGGTAAACATATTGAAACATAGATTACAACACTATTAGTTGATCATTTATGGTGCATTATTATTGAGTTTCGTATTTACTGAATTATCTTGTTAATATTTTTAACAAGATTTTTAATCAAGAAATCTAAATTTAATCTTTTTAGAAGTACAAATGCAATTGTGCCCACCTCCACCTCAGATTCCCAATGCTCAAGATATGACAACTACAGTGAATTATCAGGATGGAGAAAAAATATCTATTCTCTGTAAAGAAGAGTATCTAATCCAGAGAGGAGAAGAAATCGTGTGCAAAGACGGCAGATGGCAGTCAATACCACGCTGTGTGGGTCAGTCGTGTGTAAGCTGTTTCATGACATTCTCTCAAATAAGCTGATACTCCTCTGTGTTTTGTGTAAATGAACAAGATGAAGGCCCTTCTCTGTATCTATTCCACTTTATCTTGAAACAGTGAATTACAATCTAGGTATACAAAGCAATCAGCATTCTTTCACTTCTAATGTGAAAAGAATACAGACAAAAACTTTGGGTTACTGTGTAAATACTGGATAAAATTTCTGTTCAGGCCTATTTTACTCCTCAGGATGAACAGGACAAGAATCAAGGGACACATTGAAGAAGTGGCCTGTAGCATAGATTTTTATGGAGACTTACACCCTTGCAAGTTTCAAATGTTTTTCAGTTTTTAAATAGTTTAATTTGTTCAAATTATCCTTATTATAAAGCCCCAAAGAGTATTTGACTTTCTTTGGCAATTTAAACATTATATTTGTGGTTGACTCCTTGATCTCTTTTCCTCATTTAGAAAAAACTCCATGCTCTCAACCACCTCGTATAGAACATGGTACCATTGAATCGTCTAAATCTACAGAAGAAAGGAAAGAGAGATCTGAACCCAAGCGTTACGTACATGGCACCAGATTAAGTTATATTTGTGAAGATGGTTTCAGGTTATCTGAAGGCGATGGGATAACATGCCACATGGGAAAATGGAGTTCTCCACCTCAGTGTGTAGGTAAGGACAGTGAACAAACTGAAATCCTATTTTCAGAAGAATTCATTAAAAATAATCAGTTGTCAAATTCTGTCATGAGCCAGAATCCTTTCGACTTCTAAATATACAAAATCATTTATACATTTATCTATCTTTTACCAAATAATTTTTGCATAACCAAATCAGTCTTATTTCTGTTAATTTCATTGGTTCACTGTTAAATCACTTTTAATTCTGGCTTTTTTGGTATTAAAAATGGATGTATAGTGAAATTAAACATACCTATGTACTGATATACCTACTCGTATTCTTACCTATTCAGGTAAGTTATAGTGTTTGCTTTGCCTCCAGGTTTTAAAAAAAAATTCTTATGTTCTTCCTACAACATCCCTTCTGATTTCTTACGGTAAATAGTACTTTTCTGAAGAGGATTAATTCTCAATTTGTTTGCTTTTATTATTCACGGTTGGTTAGAGAAGCATTGATAGTCTTTCATACATATATTGACACTTTTAGTTTCAAGTTCTTGCTCAAGTTGACAGCTGGACACACCCCAGAATGGTAGTTTCAAGAAAGATTTGTGCGTCTTCTCTGTAACGTGATGGTAGCTCCTGTGTTATCATGTCTTGTAAATTAAAACTACCAAATATAATAACTGGTACATAAAAAGTTAGTGAAACATGGAGTCATTCTTTCATTTCTTTTATTTTTTTAAAGGAATTCCTTGTGAACCACCAGCATTGATTCCACACGGTGTTCTATCTCACAAGTTAGACAGTTACCAATATGGAGAAGAAGTGATGTACAGCTGTACCGAAGGTTTTGGGATTGACGGACCTGCATCTATCAGATGTTTAGGAGGAAAATGGTCTGATCCACCACAATGCATAAGTATAGTGCATTTAATTTTATCCTAAAACTGACAAATATCTTTAATTTAGAGCATAAATGGTACAAATATGAAACTAAGGAGTAGTTATGAACTTAATAAGGTATCTCTGGAAAGATATGGATTCTGGTAGAGATGAATAACCCAGGTAATAAGAAGAGTTTGACAACATGAGCCAAATTATTTCATTCTCACGTCCTCTTGTGTGTGCTTGTGACATCTCTGATCTACATTCTCAGACTTTTCATTTCTGTTCCTGTATCACAGCTGGCGCCTGCTGATCAGTCTCATTATTATTCTACTTACTGTTACTTTTCCAGTTATCTCCTTATAAATATAGAATTTTCTAAGATATTTGACATAATTAGTCTTAACAGATTTTGATGGAAGCCCAAAGTAGAAATATGTCCAAAATGCCAGTGGCCTCTATGGGCAAATAAGAATTCAAATGTAAGAAGTATGGTCTCAAGCATTACATGTGTCCATATCTCTTCATAGTTTCAAAATCACTGTTTCAATGTTATACTTTTGATGAATGTAGAACCATTCAATCTAATTAAGTCAAGACTGCTAACATTTTGTTTTCAAGGGAAGAAAAATATTGTACAGTATTCTTTGGTTTGATATGTAGCTAACTATTACTCTAGAATAATTATTGGCCTTTATATATTTTTAATGATTTACTGAACAAGTACTTTTTTTTGTTGTTCCAGAAATGGATTGTCTTAGCTTACCCATATTTAATGATGTCATACTCATAGATCAGAAAAAGGAATCATATAGGTCAGGAGAACAAGTGGCTTATAAATGTCCAGAATATTACCAATTGGATGGGTCCAGTTTTGTCCAGTGTATTAACGGCAAATGGATAGGAAGGCCAACATGCAGAGGTACTTCAATGAAATTTTAAAATTTATTTATGAAAGTGCCTGAAGTAAAATAATATAGAATGCCCTCTAGCATCATCATAAAGTGGACATAGATTATTTTTTCAGGCCGGAATTTTAGACCAAAAAAGGTTTATGCCTTAACGTCAAAGGATGGAATTGTGTACTCAACAGTTAGTCTTATAGCTCCGTAGTTCTCCACGTGCGGTCCCTGGAAGAGCAGCATCAGTATCTTCTGGGAAATTGTTGGAAGTGCAAATGCTAATTCACAGGCGTAGTCAGACCTGTTGAATCACAAACTCTGGGGTCAAGGGGCTCCATGCACGCTTTGGGTTAGGAACCATTGCCATAGCCAATTATAAGTTATATCCACCTGAATCTCACTGATAATTACACATGACTCATTGTAGTATCCTTAAGCATTTGGCCCCCAAAAGTCATTAAAGAGTGTTTTTATAAATCATACAGTTATTTTTGTGTTGTTTTTCTACACCTCCTGTTTGGATCCTTTGACTAAGAAACTTCTTCCGTCAACAATGATATTCTTCAAAGTGTGTTCATGCTTGACTTATTCTCTAAGCAAGTGTCTACTTGTGTTTATTTTTCTAGGGGCTTAAAACTATAATTCACAAACAGGATGATTTAAAACCAAATTCTACTATCATTAATCTATTTATTATGATTTTCTTGTGGTTTATAAATTCATTTTTAATTTATATAATGAGAACTCAAAGGGAAATGTTCAGAAAAACTCATTTTCATTGCCCTACACACACACGCACACAAACATATCTCATTGCCCTCCATACACACACACAAATATCTATCAATCTTCTAGTAAAGAATGGAAGAGAGATTTAAGGTATAGAAGCTTAAGTCTTCCTAAAAAAGTATTGCTTTCTCTCCTTTTCCACAATCTTACATGTAAATTTATTAAAAGAAGCAATCTTTTATGACAGATTGATTGATTTTAAACCCCTCTGGAAATATATTTGGAATCTCATTTGTTGATATGCTACTCAAAATGATCATTACCTTGGAGATACTTTTTTTCCTCTCTATTAAGGTTTCCTGTGAGAAACCACCTGAAGTCAAAAATGCCATTATCTCAAATGAGATGTCTAGGTATCCATCTGGGGAGAGAGTACGTTATGAATGCATCAAACCTTTTTATCCACTTGGGGAAATAGATGTGACATGTGTGAATGGAACCTGGACAGACCCACCTCAATGCAAAGGTAGAATGTCTTATTTTCCCCCCAATTTTAGCGTATATCTTAGGGACAAAATACATTGATTTAAAGGGAGAATGAAGCAGTTCTTATGGAATAAATTTTGTAAACACAAATAAAATGATGATGCTTAAAATCCAGTTCCTTTTGTGGACAGAAAAAGTAATAAGGTATATTTATTTGATGAGAGATTTGTCCAGATTAGAAGAACAATTGGAATCCCGGATAATTCCCTATCTTAACCATTAAGATGCTCAGTTACTTCCCGAGGAATAAATGTATTCAAGATACCCTGAGTACACTTGACAGCCCTTTGAAATTCTACTTTGAGACATGAAATAGCCAGTGGGACAGGGGTGAGAATCATAAAATGTGAAGTAAATTTGGGTTTCTTTAGCATATGGATTCTAACTAAAGGTATTTTACTAATAGAGCTCATCTGCGATGTTAGTATATCTATACAAAACATAAATAGTCTGAGAACTTGGTCATGGGACACTCCAGTGCTCAGAGTTCAGAAAAGAAGGGGAGCCAACAAAGGAGACATTATATTAGTAACTTCTAGTTTTTCAAATTAAGTTTTGCCTGGTATATATTTTTTCCAATATTTTACTTTGAACCTATCTATGTTTTCATATTTGAAGTGAATTTCTTGTAGACGGCATGTAGTTGGGTCTTGTTTCTATATCCAATCTGCCATTTTCAGTCTTTTAACTCGTATATTTAGAACACTTACCTTTAAAGTAACTACTGCCTTGTTAGGGGCTCTGTCAGCCATTTTATTATTTGCTTTTGTGTGTTTCCTCTGTTCTGATTCTTGTTTCCTTTTATTGCCTTCCCTATAGATTTTTTGAACATTTAAAATAATTTTGTTTTAATATGTCTGTAGTATTCTTGAGTATATCTCTTTGTACAATTTTATTAGGGGTTGCTCTAGGCATGAAGATATACACATGTAACTTATTGCTGCCTATGGGTATTGACATTTTGCCACCTCAAGTTAACTGTGGAAGCTTTACTTCCATTTTGGTCCATTTAGTACCCCACATTTTAAACATAAACGTCTTATGTATTTCCTTTATATACATAGAGCACCTTATCAAATAGTATAATCTTGCAGAGAAATTTAACAAAGTCATTGGGAAAAAGATAGTCTATTATATTTGTTCCTATTATTATCACTTCCCTTGTTTTTTCTGCCTTTCTGAAGTCTCAGTCCTCCTTCTGTTATCTTTTCCTTTCTCTTTGAAGAATTCCTTTAGCCATTGTTTTAAGTATAAGTCTGCTGGAGACCAATTCTCTCCATTTTCCTTTGTCTGGGAGTGCC